GATTTAAGATATAATTCATTTTAATTTTGGTCTATGAGCAATAGACACTGGGGTGAATCCTCTTATATCTCCACAATAGGTACCTTTTGAATTACATGTATTTTAGAATATTCCTCCGTTCTTGGTGCCCCTGTATTAGGCAGTAAGTTCTATCAAGGGAGTACAACAAAGTTAGCTATAAGCCACAGTATACTACCTAGTTACAGGTGTTTAAATAATTTTATTTATGTGAAAGGCTGAAAAGCCTGAGAATTGCTTAGACAATAATAATAAAAATAGTAAAGTTTAACAGACAAAGCTAGAGAGACTAAGGATTACCAAAGAGAGAGAGAGAAAAGTGGCTTGCTGGCAGTGTTCTAAGAAACCTGGGTTATTGTGCAAAAGTTGCTTATTATCCAGCTCTTCATTATTCCCACTTATGTCCACATTTGGTAAAAGGTTAAGTTGAGGAGTTGTGAGGTCATAGGAAATGAGGAGGAGCAAGCTACAGGAAAATAGTATAGTTTCTTCATCTTTAAAAGCTGCCTAGTGTATCCTCTGGACGACAGCTTTCCCGAATTCTTGAGTCATGGAAAGTCCTGGTAGGGAATACTAATTTTTACATTAGCCAAGTTTTCAGTACTAGAAATGGTATTTATGAGTGTCCCCTTGTTGTGGCTGTGGCCTGCTTTGCACCGGCAGAATTGCAGTCTCCAGTCTTCACTCACCGTGCCTTTCCTTGTCAGAGTTGTATTTTGTTCTTCACAGTGTGGAATCACAGGCAGGGTATGGCAGCACAGTTCCTAGCAAAAGTGACTCCTAACTTTCAGCTTTTCATTTTGCTATCTTGCATGGGTCATGTAAATATAAATACACTTAGAATATCACTGTCATTCCTTTGACTGTCTACCTCTGTCAAAGGTGCCTGTCATTTGCCTTTGTTTCTACCTGGGAGAAATAAAGGAGAACGAAAAGGTTAGGGATCAGAATTTAAAATTAATCATTTATTGAAATGAAACAATATAATTATTAAAGTATAGAGGTAGTGTGTTGTAAAATACTTGAAAAATTCTTTACTGAAAGGGTAGATGGTCAACTTAAAATATTTTACTGTATGTATCTTTTCATTGTAATAACTTAAAAGTACTTCTTGGTTTCCAGATACCATTTTTGCTGTTTTAGTTTCATTCTCTCAGTACATTCGAGAGAATCAGTGGCTCAGGTATATTTAAAATTGTGTTAAAGTCTGAATTCTTTTTTTTTAAACTGTAGTTTCTCTACTCATGTTCCCTTTACTTTGTCTGACTGAACATGTTCCATGGTAGATTTCAAAATTCTTCTATACTGTGGAATGAAAAGAAGAGGGTTTTAGTTTCCACAAGAATGCATACTTGATGAAGCCTGGTTTTTACGTTTGTAATTCTTAGAGGAATTGGAGTTCTAACTTGTTCTGGCCCTTTGTTATGAATCATGGATTTGGGGTTCTGCCTGGGAGATTTGGTCCCCCTTCTTTCTAATGTTGTGACCTACAGCATGAAAGCCCTCAATGATGAACTATTTGCAGCGTGTGGGAAGAAACTTCAGTCATTGTTTAATGCTTACAGGAAGCACATAGTTTTGGGCTGTTTTAGCTGAATGACATGTTCCAGGTAAAAGATGTAGAGATTGTGAATATCATGTTTCCCAGCAAGTCTGAACATACTGCACTGTCTATGGAGGTGTGGTAGGGAAAACTTCCTTCTAAGCCTCTGGTCCACTTGGACAACACAAAGAATTGAGGGTCTGATCCATGATGAGAACCATAGTTACACATTCTAAAATGTTAAGAATGACAGAAACATCCTAGGTCTACTCTTATTCTGCCTTTCCCTTAATAGTCTTTTCCTCCATCTAGGATCAGAATATCTTAAGAAATGTTGATGAACATGAATAGAAAAGATATTTTCCTAGGAATACAACTGCAGCCAAAAACGTGGCATAACCAGTTTCGGTTTTGTTTATTAAATCAATGGAGCAATGAGGCACAGGCTACTTTCAAGCATTGAATATTTTAATATGTAAGTTGGTCCGGGACTCGCCAGTTGGAAATTGAACTCTTTATTAAATATTTACCCTTGTGAGATATACACTGCAATAGAGAGTTGTAAGGTAGTTCGTTTCCTGTCCATTTATATATGGAGATTTGGACCTCTGGAAAGAAATGCATTAAGTCTAATCTCATTTTAGTGGCAACTTTCTTTTTTTTAAAGCAGAATATATACCCAGGAATGGTGGGCAGGGGCTAAAGCAGAGTATTTATCAGTTCTAGAGCACCCGAGGTTGTATAGTAAGACCTTGTCTCAAAAAGCAGTCAAACAAACAATCAATACCTAGCAGCAGCAATAACTATAAAACAGAAGTTGCATCACCTATGCTTGATTAATCTTACTAAATTTCCATGATAACACTATTAAGTATAAAGTCTTTTCCAAGTTCCCTATGGGAAAGATTCCAGTTGAAATTTCAAAGTTGGAAATTAGGCACAATGTGCTGGGCTATGGTCTAGGAACTGCTCCCATTAGTAGATAGTAATTATTTTACAGTCTGTCACTCTTGATTTATAATGAACCATAATGCATCTGGGCATTTGTAATTCCTATTGTCCCAGAATTTTTAGAGTGTTTTTTGTCAGCTATAAAAGTAATGTCTGTATTACTTTTAACATTAAGATTTATGAAATTGGGCAGAAAACCATTCTTAGGTTCAGACCATCCCATGATTTTATCTCTCCTAGTGATTGGGTATGTTTTGACAGGACAGGATTGTCTGATGTACTTCACACCATATGAGCATTCAACATATATTCATTGATTATCCATCAGTTCTAAATACCCAGCAGTGAACTAGTAATAGGAACCTGTGTTCAGTGCACTGTGAAACATATTTTTATACAGATTTTGCTGTCTTTTACGTATAAAGCCCATACTGAAAATCGTCCCTGAACTTACTTTAAATCTTGAAAAGCTCCTTTTTGTCTTCTCCCCACACCTTAAACTCCAAAGGTAACATATCTAATGATCTCTAGCATTTTTGATGGTTCTAAACTCATGCCCTTTTTATTTCAAGCAGCATACTGTAGTTCAATTCTATAGTAGTGATTGAGGAGTTGCTCTAATCCATGTTCTTATGATAGCTGGTATAATAAAAAATCATAGCATGGTTTTAAGATCATATAGCAACTTTCAGAAAATTTTCCCATTGGTTCTTGTAACAGTCTTTGTGTGTATGTGTGTGTGGTTTTTCGAGACATGGTTCCCTATATTGCTTTGGAGCATGTCCTGGAACTTGCTCTGTAGACCAGGCTGGCTTCAAACTCACAGAGATCCGCCTGCCTCTGCCTCTTGAATGCTGGGATTAAGGGCATATGCCACCAACACCCTGCTTCTTCTAACAGCCTTAAGGGACATTATTCAGTATTTATGTCATCAGTACTAATGTCAGAGGTCTTTCATTAAAGCAGAGATACTTTCTGGAAAGGTATCTTTTCATGCATATTTACTCTGTGAATATAAGCCACTCTCTTTTAATTTAAATTAAACTTGTCTGGTTGACAGCATACAACTTGGTTGGCTTGAAAGTAACCGTGAGAAAGTAAAATCCATACTCCCCCATTGTATTGGTAGATGTTTCTTGGAGCCTGGACCTGGGTACCCAGTAGGCTCCAAGTGACCCGATTCCAGCCCAGTTACATGCACATGCACATGCACATGTGAACTTTCACCAAGACTTCTTTAGTTTCTTGGCTATGGTGGACATTGAATCTGCAATCTTAAGCAGCATGCAAACAGTGCTCACAGTGGAAGTACTACCTTATTTTGTATCTCAGCCATTTTTATGTTTTATTAATAATAATCATGAAACTGAGTACTTTATTTCTGTGCAGGAAGAAAACAACAAGGCCAAGGCATTGCATTCTTTGTTAAAGAAATTATCATTCTTTGATAGTTTCATTTATGTACATACTAGATTTTTAAAATTTCTCCTCCATCCTGTGCCCTCTGTCATCTCCCTTCCACTCCTGCTGGAATACCTTCTTTTTCTTCCTATTTTCATCTTGTTTTTGTGATGTACTGAGTTTAATGAGGGTTGCTTGCATGAGCATGGCTAAGAGTTTATTCACTAGAGCATCACTAACTTATCAGTGGCTATTGAGAAAAATGACTTCCCACCCTCCAGCAACCATTAACTGCTAGTAACTCCTCAGGAAGGAGTGCGATCTAATGAGTTCCTACACTATAAAATAATGAGGGGTGTACCACTGTGGGAAGGTCTTGGACAGTAACCATAGCTTCTCTGAGTTCCTGGATGCAGTGGCCATGCAGTGCACAGAAGATGGTGTTTCATAGCACTCCTTCCTATGCTCTCGCTCTTACATCCTCTCCAACTCCTTTTTCTTTATGTTTTCTGAGAGTTTGGGAGTGTGATATAGATGTTCCATCTTGAGATGAGCACTCAACACAGTCACTTATTTTCATTACGTTGAATAGTTATGGGTTTCTGCGTTAACTATTACCTACTGCAAACAGAAGCTTATCTGATCAAACTATCCAGTAGCACCAATCCATAGGTACAAATATTTAGAAGGTAATTTGACACTGTGTCCACTTAGTGAAACAACAGTAGTAGATTTTATCCAAGGACCTATGACCTCCCCAGCTTTTGGCCAGGTTTACAGTACCAGGCATGAATTCCCTTCTGTGAATCATGCCTCAATTTCAATTAGAAAGCAGTTGACTACCATCATAACTGTTATACCACCAAACAAGCAGAGGCAATTATAATACTTGACAAAATAATTCATCAAGCAGAGCTATATAATAACCAACAAAAATTGACAAATGGGTCTGTAAAGAAAGATCTGCTTTTATTTTTGTTCCTTTTGTATTTGTTTAATTTGTCATTCATATTACATTGTGCTTGTTTGCATTCTATCAAGAACATCTGTTTTAGTACCTCATCTAGTTAATATTTTCTTTTTATAGGTCACTGAAATGATTCTGGAAATGTCTCTTGAAGTTTGGTAAGTTCATTTATTTAATCAGATGAAAACTATTGGAAGTGACATTGTTAAAAGTGTGAAATAATTCCTAAAGCTTTGAATATGTAACAGTATCATAATAGTCTCCTTTAGCTATTTACTCACTCACAAAATCCAAAAAACATAGTTGCAATATTTTTTCTTACTTTTCTAGTAGTTTGAAAACTGGGTAATAGTTGTTAGAATAAGTGCTTGTTTTCAAGGGTCTTCCTTCAAGTAGCATATCTATTCCCATGGAAATAATTCCAGTTTTTAATGCCAATTTCCCATTGGTGATTAGTCACTAGCAGTGTATAATAATTTCTTCCATAGCTGCCACAATACATTATGCTTGGTGTGGTTTTTAGTGGGTATAGGTTTCTGAGAAATTGTTGCTGCCACTACTAATAAGAGTATCACTAAGGGATTCAAATGTGTTGTAGATGTTACTGCGTTTGTGGTTATCTGGATTTCTGTTATTTGAAGTGCTTTTGAGGGAGTCCTCCATTAGACACGGGAATTTCTTAAGACAATATCTCTGTAAGCATGATCCCTGGGAATTAAGTGCTTTGTGATGGTAGTGGATGGTAGATGCTAGAGTGGTGGGGTTGGAGGAACAGGGGAAGAACTCCTGACCACTGACACTTGTAACACACTGTACCAAAGCCACAAACAGTCTTCTGTATTGAAACATTCTGAAAGTCTTCACTGTCCTAATATACAATAGGTCTTGGCTACTTTTCTTTTTTCTTTTTTCCTCAATATATGTTTTTATTTAAATTAGAAACATGAATGCTTCACATGTCAATCCCAGCTCCCTCACCCACCCCTCCTCCCTTGTCCCTTCACCCGCACCCCTCCAGCCCCCCCACCCAATCCCCATATCATTCCCCAGGGAGGATGAGTCCCTCCTTGGGGAGGATCTCCAGAGTCTGTCATTTCATCCAGGGTAGGACCTAGGCCCTCCCCCATGTGTCCAGGCTGAGACAGCATCCCTCTATTTGGAATGGGCTCCCAAAGTTCATTCATACGCCATGGTAAATACTGATCTACTATCCAAAGTCCCAGAGATTTCTGAGGCCTCCTCACTGACACTACATTCATGGAGTCTGGATCAGTTCCCTGTTGGCCTCTCAGCCATCATTCTGGGGTTCAAGAGCTCCCCCCTTGTCTAGTCAGCTGTGTTTGTGGGTTTCACCAGCATGGTCTTGACCTCTTTACTCATCACTCCTCCATCTCTGTCACTGGGTTCCAGGAGTTCAGTTCAGTGTTTAGCTGTGAGTATCTGTCTCTGCTTCCATGAGTCACTGGGTGAAGGTTGTCATCAACCTTATCATCAAGGAGGAGTTATTATTGTAGTCTCTCTACTGTTGCTTTAGTTTATCTTGGCTACTTTTGTATTGCCATGATAAAATACCATGACCAAGACAACTTACAGAAGAGACTTTATTTTGGGTTTATGGTTCTAAAGGGTTAGAGTTCATGATGGTTGAGCAGAGGTACCGGATGTCAGGAGGCAGAGGCTGCAGGTGAGAGCTCATGTCCCCATCCCTAAACAGAAAGTAGAGAACATAGTGGGAGTGGCATGAAAACTCTAAACTGCCCCTGGTGACATACTTTTCCCACCATGGCCACACCTTGTTATCTTCCAAACAGACACTAAATGGGAATCAAGTATTCAAGTCCAAGACTTATGAGGGACATCTCATACAAACCATCCTACGATGTATTGGGGACTATCTGTTTGCTTATTTATTATACATAAATATCACTTGTTTGAGAAAGTATTTTTAATTTGTTCACATCTGAATACAGATTGCTAATATTTTTGTCCCTCTGTTTCCAGTTCAGTCTTAGATCATTGCTTGCTATAGGGCACATAACTGTGTTAAGATAGCCATCATTTTATGCTATTGTTTGACTGCTTTCTGGGAATGGTTTGAGGGAAGCAGTTAGCATGTATTAGTGCAGCTTTGGGGGACCTCGGAGGCTGAATACTCTAAAACAAGACTCCCAGGAATCCTGGCCCATTGACCTCTCTGTTTTCCATCATAGCTCATGCCCAGACCTACGGTTCAGCATGGCTTTGTGTGATCAGGAGAAAGCTTTCAGACAACAGAGGAAAGAGAACATAAAGGAGAACATGAAGAAACTCTTGGGTCCAAAAAAGAGTGAGGGGCTATATTCTACACGTGATGTGAGTTGGGAAATTTTAAATGTCATTACAGTCGAATGATAACTTTTTAGTATTTACTTCAAATATATCCCTCAATATGGACGTTATTTCTTCAGCTTTGCGGTAGGATAAGCGGTTCTAAAATGAAAAGGCTTTGAGGATGGTCAACTCAATACTGATCATACTTTGGGCATAGTTATCAACTATAGTAGTTATTTCTAATTTGACGTTAACAACAGAGTTAGTGCCACAGAAAAACTAAGCAGAAAATATAGGTAAGTCCCCTAATACTTTCCATTCACATACGTGTATGGCCTCTTAGTCTTTGAAACCGAACCAAAGGGATGCATGCATGCACTCGACTGTGTGTGTGTGTGTGTGTGTGTGTGTGTGTGTTTTAATACAGAAATTGGCTCATGTATATTATGGGAGTTGAGAAGTTCTATGTTACACTGTCTACAAGGTGGAAATCCAGGGAAGACCCGGATGCAATCAGAGCAGTACACTTGTTAGCGTCAATGAACGTGCAATGAAAAATTATCCAAACTTTATAGCTTACATAAGAATTTGCAATTAATGTACGTTTTATGGGTTTGAAGAAAAGTGTAATGACCCTTGTCTATAGAACAGGGGGATAGTTTTGTTGTCTTGGACATCCATTGTCTTCCATAGTTAATCTTCCCTCTCACATAATTTCTGACATCCACTTACCTTTCCTGTTTCCTCATAGTTTTACCTGTTTCTAGACTCTTTTAGGGGCAGTCAGATAATGTCAAGTCTCTTAGACTGGATTATTTCACATAATAATAATAATGTAAATTTTAGCTTGATCCAAATTTTCTCATGGTTTAGTAGCTTCATTTTTTTTTTTTTAGCACTGAACAGTTTTCTCACTGTGTGGGTGCAACACAATTTATATTCGCTAATATGGGCTAATTTTTTTCTCTTTATTTTATGTGTTTGGGTGTTTTGTCTGCATGTGTGTCTGTTCACTGCATGTATGTAGCTCCCATGAAGATAAGCATAGTTGCTTCTGATCCCCTGGGACTGAAGTTACCGAGGTTATGAGCTGTTATGTGAATTCTGGGAATTGAAACCAGGTCCTATGAAAGAGCAGCCAGTGCTTTTGACTGCTGCCCTATCTCTCCAGTCCCTAGTATATTATTTTTTTAGTAAGGCATACAAGTACTAACACTTTTTAGAAAAATACCCACAAGATATGTATACAGAAATAAGGTTTTCCTAGGTATCTTGATAACATTCCTTAACTGATTTGAGTTGCATATTAAAAGAGGAGATAAAAAATGTTTCAAATTCTTCATATTTGGGAGCAGAGAGCTGCAAAAATACCATCTAAAATTAACTAGGCAGCCAAAAAATATCTTCTACTTATGGAGAGTTTAGGATAAAATAATTGAAAACAGTTATTGATGGTACAATATTTGGATTTTACTTTAACATTTTCTTTGTTTAGGGTGAATATTCAATAATGTATCTTATAACATTTTTGGGTGATCTATCCTTTAATTTTTTTCTATCTGTTTACCTACCTATTCTTCTATGCACATACATATGTATGTATGTATATATGTATGTGTGTATCTATAATTATCTGTGTAATATACCCCATGTCTCTTTTTTCTTTCTTTTCTGCCAGTCTACCTTTATAAATGAAATCTATGTAGATAAATTGCTGCAATGATGAAATACCTTGTTAGCAATAGAACAGCAATTCTTGACTTATTCTTCTAAACTTTTTCTATTAACTGTTTTAAGTTAACCTAATTTTATTTGTTAAAATCACACACACACACACACACACACACACACACACACACACCTGGGTTTCAATGTTATGGCAAATCAAAGGCAAATAAGAGATAACAACTGAGTAAGAGTACCTGATGAACACCCAGATGCCACAAGTGATGGCGGGATGGCGGGTTTCCTGCTATGTTTTCAGGGAGCCATGAGGTGGGAAGCCATGTGGTCATGGCTTTGATTACTGTGGAGCCAACCAACTGTAAGATACAATGCTGCTCATGAGGGATCTCTGCCAGAAAGAAACAAAGGGGGAAAGAGAAGATCCATTTAAATTACTATTTTTAAAAATGCAGAGAGCTGATTCCTTTTTTTTTTTTTGTGCACCATCCACCTTGACAGATCTCTTGAAGAATTTATAACAGATTATTAAGTTTGGTTACTAGTATTAGGAGAAACTGCCTTTTTATCATACCACTCATTTTTTTGCCTCCATTTACTTTTAATATAGGTAACAAACCTTTCACCCGTAATTCTATGACTTCTTTTTGTTCCACCTTTTTTTTTTTTTGCTATTGTTGGATCCTTAGAGCCTAGAAATTGTATTTCAAGTTGTTCTGATTTCTGTCCTCTATCACTGACTGAGATAACTGTGCTAGCTTCTGGAGAAGATAAAAGTTGAAATGAGCGTCACTTAAAGCCCCTTAGTGAGTTTAAAGCCTTGTTGGGACAAGTGATAGTTAAGCTAATTAAACTAATGATGTGTTAAGTGGACAGATGTGAGTGGAGGATGCTGGGACTGGTGGGAAGGTGGAGAGTTCTGGACATGCCATGAGGAATGAGCTTGCTGGAATTCACAGGGCATTCTCTACATTCATGGTCTTCTCTACCCCTCAGAAGACTCTGACTCATAATCCCAGACTCCCTACTTGCTGTTCAGTTATATCTAACAATTTTACTTTTACTTCAGCTCGTCCATTATTCTATTCACAGCTAATAACTTGGCTCCTAATGAAAGGCAAATTAAAGTCAAGAGATAAGACGCTCATAAATCTTTCTTTTCTAACTTTTGGCCCTAAGGTTGACACATGCAGCCTATGCTTTTCCTTTGTATTTTCTCTCCTACTTTAATGATATTTCCTTTTCTTTCAAATACAGATCCACATCAGACACATATCACAAGCCTGTCTTAGGAACCATAGTATGTCAATTATTCAGTCCTTCCAGTCCCCTCCTCATCTATGCTGTCAGCGTCTGCTTGAGTACGGATATTTTCTATAATGCTCTTCACAGCCCACTTTGCATCCTTTCGTGCTTGAGGCATCTGCCTTCACTGTTCTGTTGCACCGGCTCCATGACAAATAGATATCAACAGTGTCTTAGTCCACCTTTCTCAACTGCACAGCTGCTGATGGCAGATGTCCTCTTGGTATTTGAAACACTGTCCCTTCACTTTGCAATGTCTGCTTCATCATGGGTCTTTGATTTTCTTATCTAATCTCCTTATTTTCATCTTTGATTTTATCACTAATGAGCCTCTCAGTATCTCCATCTCAGCTTTCCTGATATTGAAAGCAGCATCACTGTTCTCTGTATCTCCTCTTGTGGCTGTCCTCCTCCTTGCCATTGCCTGTCTACCCAGAATTCAGGGTGATCTTTTCAAAACATGAGGTTGATTACATTAATCCCTTCTTTGGCACAAAAAAGTACATTTTTTCCAGAATCTGTCATTATTACACCGGAAAGTACTATATTCATTTGGTGTCTCCTTTCTCTAACAGAATATAAGTTTGATGAGGACTGTGATGAGTTCTGTGATGTCTCCCTGTGTATTTCCAGTATCTTGGCATAGCTCCTAAAATGTGATACTCAGAAAATATTTTATGTGAGCCAGATAATAGAATTAGTCAGTAGTTAGCATTGCATTTGTGGAGAGATGGGCTAGATGGGAAGGGAGAAAGAGAGGAGAATGAAGAAAGGGAGAAGAGAGAGGGAGACACAGAGGAATATCAGGATTCCAAAACGGAGGAACATCAATATCTGACTTCTAACAAAAAGATGAAAGTTTAGATGAAAGGATTAGGCTCTTAAAGTAGACACATCCATGGGCCATGTTAGTGTGGATGTCTATAGGTCATATTAGTGTGCATGTCCATGGACCACATTAGTGTGCATTTCCACAGGCCATATTAGCATAATTAGTGTGGATGTCCAGTGGGCATTTCATATTGGGTTTTTGGAAAAGCAGTTTCTGCTGCTATCCCTGATTGGCATTTCTTAGTGAAAAAGAAAGTAGTAAGTCTTCTCAGAGAAATCAAATTTGCCTTCATATTTATATAAGTAGTAATATACTAAGTTTTTTGTGTTTTTTTTGCAATAGATGGATAGTGAAGTATATTACCCTTTCTATGAAATAGCACTTAAAAATGTGAAATTTATGTATTTGAAGATGGTTTTTAGAATTCTGGTTTGGCTCTACCCCTTCTCTTTTCCTCAGAAATAATCAGATATAATGCACACCACAGACTATGTGATTAATACCATTCATTTCCATAAGAAGTTCTTTGTTATTATGTTAATATTTGTGTCTCTTAGTTTCCTATTCTCCTGCTCCCTGTAAATATCTTCATTTTCTCATCAGTACTTCATAGTTCCTCTAAGAACTATCTTAAGAAAAGCTCAAAGTCAAGTATGTCCCTATCCTGCTCTTGCTTTTCAAAAGGATTTGATGAATTTAAAAAATCTTGGGAACACACTGTGTTTTTTTGTGCTTCAGTGTTGCTGGATTTTATTTTACTCTAGCCCCATGCTGGGTGCCAAAATGTTGTTGGGTACTTTTTTACTGTTGTTCTCTTTTTGCTCTTTTGGGGCGCCCACCACTCAGCGTCCAAATCTTTTTTTTTAAAGAAATTAAAGGCCTTCTATAATTTAATTAAAATGAATACACAACATACCCATACTTAGGGACACAATGAAAGCAGTGCTAATAGACAAGTTCACAGCACTAAGTACATACATAAAAGAACTGGAGATACCTCCTACCAGCACGTTAAAGGCACACCTGAAATTTCTAGAACAAAAAGAAAAAAGCACACCCAAAAGGAGTGAACAGCAAGAAATCAGCTTCCAAATCTTGACATGGTTTCTTATTCTTTCTTATAAATGCCTGGCCTTAGCTTGACTTGTGTCTAGCCAGCTTTTCTTAACTTAAATTGTCCCATCTACCTTTTGCCTCTAGACTTTTTCCTTTTCTTTCTTCTGTAATCTTGCTTTTACTCTTGCTCCATGGCTAATTGTGTGACTGGGTGACTGGCCCCTAGCATCCTCCACTCATTTTTTTCTCTTGCTCCTTCTTTCTCCTACCAGGTTTCTCCTATTTGTTCTCTCTGCCTGCCAGCCCCATCTATCATTTTTCCTGCCTTACTATTGGCAGCTCAGCTCCTTATTAGACCATCAACTGTTTTAGACAGGCAAAGTAACACAGATTCACAGAGTTAAACAAGCAACATGAAAGAATGCAACACATTTTTGCATCAATAAAAAAGTGTTCCACAGCATAAACAAATATAATACACATTAAACTAACATTCTACAATACTTGGGCTGTAAAATGGAGATGATGTGTCTTACAGTCAAGGAAATGAACACCCAAGGTTGTGATGTATCTAGCAAAATGTGTGGAGTACATAATAGTTATTTAACCAAATAGTTCATTATAAACAGTTGTGGGGGCTATTGCTGATTGTTTAGTACCATGTGACAATAACTGTTAAATGTAATATCTTCACTTTCCTGCCTGGAGAGTAATCCAAATGGTTAAGGTTTCTAATAGTCTAAGAGTTTATGATCCTAAATACTCAACTTTGAGACAACCACATCTATTGTTTTTGATCATTTGGAACAGAAATTGTTCTGAAACATGCAACTTCTTTGCATTAAGTGGAGTGGGCTTTCACATATTGGTGCCCTTTGAAATCAGATGCCATTTTGCTTGTTCTGTGTGTCCACTTGAAGTAATTTCTTTAAACTGTAACTTTCTCTTTCATCATTGTTGCTGTGGAATTCAAATCTGATAAGCAAGCTGGTTATTGGAACAATGTCTCTAATTTGAGTAATTTCTTCTATGGTGAAGGGCTGAGATAGGTCTCCAGGAGCCCATACATCAAGAAAGATGTAACCCATACCAGCACACTGAAAATCAAAACACGGGATATTTTTGGTAAATGCAAGTTAATTTCTTGTAATCCTACGTGAAAGTATGTTAAGTATTTCTTGACACATTTATACACAAATATTAATGATGCTATGTCCAAATACAACCTAAAAACTTTTTAACAGCATTTCTTATCTGATTCTCTTCAAATCACTAAGTCTAACAGAAGCACACATTGTTACTCTGTGATTTCAGAGTGACTCTTCAGAAGATTATTTTAGCATCCAAATTTACTCCTCATGATTTACACAGAATATGCTGATATTATTTGATGCTCTACATGAGTATGAAATACACTTTGCCCATGCATCCAGAATTTCTTTCAATAAATCTCTCCCTTTTCTGTAACAATGCCAAAGGGGAAGAGCATGGCTTTGAGTGCTCCTTGGATTTTAGTTCGATTCTCGGTTGTACTAGTTATTGGCTGTCTGTGTATGAAACCTTTATTGTGGGTGCTTAGCTTAAGCCCTTTCAAATGACTTCTGACCCCTTGCCTCATTCTCACTGCTCACTTCAGGTCTATCCCCCAATGTTAGTTTCTCCCTGCAAATGTACTTGGAAAGCAAGCTGTTAGCCCAGTCGACGGGTTGCTTCTGTCAGCTGTGTGATACTGAGAGAAGGGGCATTACTCTATTTAAACATTTCAGGATACCTGAGGGACCAAATGAAGCAATGACCCTGAAAGCCAGCTATGGACTGCCGTGAACTGAACACACAGAGCTTCGCTATGATGGTTGCTATCATAACTATTATTTAAAATAATATCAGCTTTTCAGTTGACTTTGATTCTTGATTTTTAAAATGAAACCCTTTAAAATTTTTAATCTGTTTTTTATTTAAATTAGAAACAAGCTTGCTTCACATGTCAATCCTAGCTCCCTCTCACTCACCTCTTGCCCCCCCCCAATCTCCTCAACCACCCATCCAACCCCAACTCCACTCTCGAGGGAGGGTGACGCCCTTCATGGGGAATCTCCAAAGTCCATCATATCGTCCTGGAGCAGGGGCTAGGCCCTCCCCCATGTGTCCAGGCTGAGAGAGCATCCCTCCATGTGGTATGGGCTCTCAAAGTCCATTTGGATGCCAGTGATACATACTGATTTATTGCCCAAGGCCTCGAAGAATGCGGAGTCCTTCTCACTGACACACATGTTCAGGGGGTCTGGATCAGTCCCATGCTGGCCTCTCAGCTATCAGTTTGGGGTCCATAAGCCTCCCGTTGTTCAGGTCAGCTGTTCTGTGGGTTTCACCAGCCCAGTCTTGACCACTGTGCTCATCGTTCCTCCCTCTCTGCAACTGGTTTCCAGGAGTTCAGTTCCGTGTTTAGCTGTGGGTGTCTGCCTCTGCTTCCATTAGCCACTGGGTGGAGACTCTAGGATGGCATACAAGGTAGTCATCAGTTACATTATCGGGGAAGGGCATTTAAGATAGTCTCTCCACTATTGTTAGATTGCCAGTTGGTGTCATCCTGGAAATCTCGCTAGTTCTGTATCTCTCCTCAAACCTATAGTGGCTCCCTATACTATGTTATTTCTCACCCTGCCCTCCTCTATTCTTCCCTCGACTCAACCTTCTGGCTCCCCATGTCCTCCTCTCCCCTTCTCTTAGACCCTTCTCTTTCTCCCACCTCCCTCTCCCCTCCCCCCATGCTCCCATTCACCTCAGGAGATCCTGTCTCATCCCCCTTCCCTGAGGTACCATGCATATCTCTCTTAGGGTCCTCCCTGTTTCTCAGACTCTCTGGTGGTGGGATTGTAGGCTGGCACTCCCTTGTTTCATGTCTAAAATCATATATGAGTGAGTACATACCATGTTTGCCTTTTTGTGACTGGGTTACCTCTCTTAGGATGGTTTCTTTTAGTGTCATCCATTTGCCTGCAAATTTCAGGGTTTAATTTTTTTTCCGCCGAGTAGTACTCCATTGTGTAAATGTACAACATTTTCTCTATCCACTCTTCAGTTGAGGGGCATCTAGGTTGCTTCCAGGTTCTGACTATTACAAATAATGCTGCTATGAACATAGTTTAACAGATGTCCTTATTGTATGAGTGTACATCTTTTGGGTATATGCCTAATAGTGGAATTGCTGGATCTTGTGGTAGACTGATTCCCATTTTCCTGAGGAATCTCCATACTACTTTCCAAAGTGGGTGTACGAGTTTGCACTCTTTTTAAAAACATTAATTATATAAAACAAATATACAAAATAAAATGAATGAACATGCAAAAGAAAATTAAATGTCACCAACACATGAGTAATATATGTTTCTTTATATTAAAGTGAAATGTTTTTAACCTTAGAGTTGAAACTAGAAATGAATTAATTTGTGCTTTTTGCTGCTCATATAATCTCTGTGTTGCTTCATTCCAGGTGCCTGTCGTGGCCATTTTGGGTTCAGGTGGGGGTTTCCGGGCCATGGTGGGATTTTCTGGTGTGATGAAGGCTCTGTATGAAGCAGGGATTTTGGACTGTGCTACCTACATTGCCGGTCTTTCTGGCTCCACATGGTTAGTATGCATCTTTAATTCATTTTGAATTACATTTTTCTAAGGGTTCATAAGTCACTCGACTCAAACATTAAGAAGGAGCAATTTACAAAATGGAATCTTAGCTTCAAATTACTAAAATCTTTCAGTCTGATGCCACAGTCAGCTTAAGAATGTCTTTTTATAGTAAACATTTATATTTAGTTAAAACTTTATCAATTGACCCTTTAAAGACTGTTTTTGACAAAACTTGTAGTTAAGGCTTAAAGTAAAAGGAGGAGAACCTGGCTGAAGATAATTTTAGATAAATACGACAGTAGTGGAATAGCATACTCCACCCATAATTAATTTAATCTTCCTATAATTTGCTGATTTGGAGTCCTCCAGAAAGCATGTCTAAGTCTATATGATTCACTATGTATTCATCCTCCTCTTTAGGGCAAATAGGAAAAAATGCAAGATGCTGTATTTTGCAGAAGAGAAAATGGCTCTGAGTAGCACAGATGCAGCAAGCCTCATTGGCTGCAATCGAACAAAATATTAAATTTATCCTTTAAGTCTATTTAGACTCAGCTGAGCTAGGTGGATCACTGTAACACCCCATTCATGTCCTGTGGATTTACCTTTTGTAAATATATGTATATCATATTTTCAGATAGATACTACATACTTTTTGGTGTGACTAACCCAGGACAGCAGCATATTGAAAATCAAATCAATGGCTGAGTTGTGGTGGCATATAACTTTAATTCCATCACTCAGGAGGCAGAGGCAGGTGGGTCTCTGAGGTTGAGGCCAGCTTGGTCTACAGAGTAAGTTCCCAGAATAGCTAGGGCTACACAGAAAAACCCTGTTGAACCACCCCCCCTTCGAAAAACCCAAATCCCTTCAAAGAGAAATAAATAGATGGCCTTCTTCCTATGTCTCAAGTGAGAGTATTATCCCATTCAATGTGTCTATCTCTGACCTAGATGGCTGATTTGGTTACAGAGCCATGGCAAATTTCATGTGTCATACTGTTGTAGTTTATGTGTTTAATATTTTTAAAGTGTCTGTGTCATTTCATCCCATGAGGTGGATATTAGATTCCTTTTTTTACCTAAAGAAAAAAAATTGACTCATAGGCCCAGTGACTTGTTCATCACTAGGTACACCAGCCTTCAGGTCCATATTCAAACTCTTTTTTATGCTAAATCATAATCTCTTAGAGAGAGTTATATGTGTAATATGATATTAGTATCATGGCCTATGCAATTGAGCTAACTAACTTCTTCTTACATACCCTTAACATGATTGATGTCTTCTGAAGGCAGGGTGTAGCCTGTCGTTATTCTTTCCCTTGAAGGAAGGAGCATGCACCTGCCTGTTGAATGAGTCATGTGGTGAAAACATTTGGACCCTTCTGTCCAATCTCTTGCTAATAATTTTATTATTTGCCTATACATGGTTTTGCTTTCTTTACTCACTATTTATTTGATTCTTTTTGCCCTATACCAAGTACAGAAAGAGGTCTATTTTCTTAAATGCATCCAATAAATGATGTCTAGTTTTTGGGGTAGAATTATGTATTTGTGACAGGAATTAGACCTGTAGTCATTTCCTTTGTCATAGATTTTGACAGTTGTCTTCTTATATGTTCTTCTTGGGAACCTGAGACTAAGTCCTGTGAAATGTAAGAGAGTTTTAAGTTTGTACACATGTTCATGTAAACAGGATGTCTACTGTACCTTTTTTCTTTAAATATTAGCTTCATCATTTTTATTCCATTTCCATGAATGACCCTCAGTCATTCTAATATTTCTAATAAATGTTCACTCACAGGCCATTCTATGTTTACATTTGTTGGTGCCTATTTTTCTTGATTTCTTCTGGTGGAGTTAGGAGCTCAGTGCTGTGACAATCACATATACTGTACTCCTTAAAGTTCTGCTTTATCCTGTCTAGTTATTCTGTCCTCTGTGTCACCATTAACCACTTACACTTCTTTGATGCCAGATCTTCTCCATTACCTCTCTCCTGCCACGCTATATCTCTATAGCAAGTTTTAGTGATTCCACAAAATTTTACCACCTGACTACCTGAGCTGTGGTACCCAGTAGTTTAATTTGTAGGATCCTGAGAACACCAAAATGTGACAGACAAAAGAGGAGGAAGAGAACTAATAGAAACATCAAGAAAGCCTGAGAGAGCGAGAGAGAGAGAGAGAGAGAGAGAGAGAGAGAGAGACAGAGAGAGAGAGACAGAGAGAGACAGAGAGAGACAGACAGAGAGAGAGACAGACAGAGAGAGACAGAGAGTCAGGTGAAAGATGCGTCCCAGAGGCCAGGGATGGTGAGAGCTCTAAGAAGCAGCCTAGCCTGAGTTTGGAAAATGTTTGTGATTTTAATTAGGAATTGTCTAATTAAGTTAATAAAAGTTATTTTAGTCATGAAATTACATGAACTGAAAGCAGAAATTCAAATATGGCAAAGTGAAAATTGAAAGAAAAACTGATCAGGCATGGGAAAATAAAGTTAGTGTTTTAGGATACTGTGGGACTTACTTGTTTTGCTTTTCAAATTTAAGAGACTTGGATATTTAGGTAGATATTAGGGATGAAGGGAATAACACATAGAGGTAGTTGAAAGACAAGGAAGTAAAATGTCATATGTTATAGATGGGAAAGATGAAGACAGAGACAGATTGCAAGGTAGAACGAACACATGGGGAAAACTGCACTGAGAGGGGGTGGCATCTCCTGAGATAATAGAAGGGTTGGGGCTGATTCATGTTAATGATTCTTGTTTGGGAAAGATGGGGAAGAAAGTAAAAAGTTCAGAGGAAGGAATTAAGGAAGACTTGGAAAAACAAATTACACCTTAGTTTCCTGTAATCTTTCATATTCTATGGAGCATGACCATAACTTGGCATAAGTGAAGCAGTACACATATCTGTGTAGTACCCTGGACCTCCAAGACAGTTCTCTGTGATCACAAAATTCAGGTTGGACAAAGTTTCTCTTATAACTGTAGCTACCTTTACAGTAATTATTTCTAAAATTATTTTTGGATGATTCCTGTGACTCATTAAGTATAAACTCAGGAGGCTTGGCATGAGTATGCTAGCGGAGTCATGATGGTAATTCGGTGTGCTCTTGCCTAGGCTTTTAGCAAAGCTTTCCTCCTCAGAGAAGCCATTATCTTGTAGCACTGGAAGGGGCTATATAATATGTAATTTTAATCACTGTATTTGTATGGTATTACCTGCTATGGGGAAATCAAAGTATCTCCATGTCTACAGACAATAGTAATAATGTCCCGCCTCTTAAATTGGCTAACAAAATTTGAGATCAAAAATGTTCACAAGTGTGGAGGATTCCTGGAACAATGTGAAGGTTCTTCTCAGATTATCCAGATTCTTAATTGGGAAGGATAACTACTTTGGCACATTCCTGAGCATAAAAATTCTAAATGTATGCACTTAAGGGTTCTAATTCAGTGTTAGGCACTAATACTTTGAAATCTGCACTGTGGGCTATAGGATTTGAAGATAGGGATTGGATTTAGTAATTTTTTTCCTACAGAAATGTTACAGCATTGAAAAAAATTACATTTAAATGAATTTATGTAGAAGCAATGAGGCATCTTATATTAATAAGTTCAAAGTTATGATTAAGTACTTTCAGATTCTTATATAAATAAATATAAGACCATATCATTCATTGATTTATAGTTCTACCCAGGTCACTCTGTTTTAGAAATTTGATTGGTATAATTGAGATCAAAAGAAGACTTATCTGTGGATTTATCACAGTTCTTTATGTAAGCTTCAGGTGGTCTTATATGCAGAAAACCAGTTATATTTTCTTCTGGGTCAAACCAAGGGAACAGAGAAAGCCATTTAATCTTAAAGTGCCAAACAGAAAAACTAGTTGCCTATCATTCTATTTTTAGCTACGACTAGAGCCAAAATCCAAATCCAGCTAGACACAATGATATCATAGAAAGGATGTCCAACTCACCCTTGTGAATTCTAAGGAAAATGTGTTCACAGGGGTTGAACAACAAAGACTATTAACTCAGTGCCAATAAACTAGTCTAGGTTTTTGTGTTTTGTTTTTGTAAACTGGGGATTAAATTCCTAAGTCAAGTACTTCCTGAGAAAAAATGAAAAGACAGATAGAGTGAAATTGAATGAGTTTCCTTCACTTGTTGGAGGCTAGAAACAGAGGATAGAAGGTAGCTCTTCTCTTTGTGATCAGAAGAGTGGTCAGCTCACATCTGTATGCATGGATACAGTCTGAGAGTTTAAGAAACCTCTAACGACGAAGGAAGAGTTTTCTCTGGCAGCAACAATAGGCCAATATTGGGAGAGATACAAGGGAGAAGGCGACCCTTTACATCTTGCTAGTAGTAAGCCTTTGGGAAGAGTACTTGTTACAGTTCATATTTGTTCATTCAAAATTCAGCTAAATTTAGATGAAGAAGTTGTAGTGCAGTGTAAATAGAATTTGGATAATTATATCTGTCTGTGCACAGAAGGAATGGCAGCTTCCAGTGGCAGAATGACCACGTCAAATGCTTTTCACTTGGCCTTAAAAAAAATCATTCTGACTCAACTGATCTCTGATGTGAAGTTTTGTTTTCCTTGCTTACATTCATTCTGTGTCATTCAGAAAAAGGACTTAATGATCCTTGAAATAAAATAGACTAAATTGGATTCATTAAGTACAGAAATGAATGGAAGGAGAAATGTAGTTTGAAGTAAGAAAATGGATGCTATAATGTATAGCCTTTGTGGGCATGTGTCACAAATTTAGAGTTAAACTTTCTACAATTCAAAAACACACAGTCTATGTGAAGATAAATAATATACATTTTGGTAAGTCATAAAGGTGGAAGTAAATTATCCTTAGTAATTTGTGCCGACTTTTTTCTTTGGTTTGGTCTGGTGTAGGCGATTAACTCAGGACCTCATACATACTGTCAAAGTGTTCTGCCACAGAGCTAAATCCTCAGCTGTTCTTCATAATCAAACAAAGAGTTACCTTATAAAACTCTCAGAATGAACGAGCTATTCATCTGGACATTTTCAGAGCTGAGCACATGAGAGTCTCTAAAGGATGTTTTATTTTCAAATGTTCTGATGTCCTTAAATATAGATGATTTTATCTACCTATGCATCTACTAAAGCTTAACAGGGTCTAGAACATTGGGTCTTTGTTGATGTATGTGACTCACAATGTAGACTTTATCTACCTATGCATCTACTAAAGCTTAACAGGGTCTAGAACATTGGGTCTTTGTTGATGTATGTGACTCACAATGTAGACTTTATCTACCTATGCATCTACTAAAGCTTAACAGGGTCTAGAACATTGGGTCTTTGTTGATGTATGTGACTCACAATGTAGACATTTGGATAGTTATCCAAGTAGATGGAGACTGTATCTTTCAAGTACTCTGTGCTATACTTTTACAGTTATTTGGTGATTGTACTAATAAGAGTTCTGATAAGTTTTTTAAATACTTAAATGTACCAGGAGTAAGGGGACAATTATAAATTTAGTTGGTATGATCAAAACAAACATTTAACTAGTTTTTTTTCTTTTTTGTTGTTAAGCATATGTTCTGTTTGTGATCTTGCATTCTCCATTCACGAACTCATTTTTTAAAACTATTATTTTTTTCTGACTTGTCTTTAAGAAACTCTTAATCCAAAAGTACATTTCCATTTATTATGTAGTGAGAATAATTTGTTCAGTAAGGACTGAAATCCTGTAAAATAGTTTTTAAAAATTAAGGCTATGCATTCAAGGCTTTGGCAGTAACTTTAGCAGTTCAAGGCTACTCTAAGCTACATAATGACATCACAGTGAGATCATAAAGCAAACCAAACTGAGTGTGGTGATGTTTGTCTTTAATTCCAGCATTTGGAAAACAGAGGCAGGTGGATCTCTGTGAGTTTTGAGGCCAATCTGGTCTACATTGTGAGTTCCAAGACAGCAAGAGCTACATAATAGAGAAACCCTGAAAAAAAGATAAACCAAGCAGATAAAAACAAATCAATGAAAAAATAATAAAACATACTAGAACGTAGAGCATGTTTTAAATTCTAATTTTTTATTAATTGATTATATGGGCCTATTATTTACTTTACTAATTATTTCTTAAAAAGAAAAACAGAGTATTTGCAAGTCATTGTTAATCTTTAAGACAAGAGATAGGAACATTTAACCAGAATAGTGCCTAAAATGAAGCAGGTCTCAGAGTTAGGCTTCCTTTCCTAAAGAGAAGATAAGCCATGATGGTGTGCATCTAGATGAAAACATGCTACTTTATGGATCTATTTGGCTGGAATATAGACTACCTGCCTTTTTATTTTGTTCTGTCCTTGTAGTAAGTTGTTGCATATTTCAGGTTGTCTACTAAGACTGAAAATGGTAATAATAAAAATTTATTTTCCTGGAAGCTGGTCAGGATTTATTATTGGAGACAGATAAGTGAAGGATCTCTTTGTAGGAGCTCTATAGTACTAGAGAATTTTGGTTTGTAGCAAGGATACCAGAAACAGAATGTTTCTTATCTAGATTATAAATTCCAGACTCATGGTGATTTTAGGTATCACTTGAAGTGGCCACATATTTGGTGGCCAACAGGCTTACCATCCAGAAAAGCCTTATTCTTATTTAAGGTGTTTGACTTAAGTTCATAAGCTTAAGTTCTACCTTGGGCAAAGTTTTGGATGTTAGCTTGTTGGCCATTTGCACAATTTTGAAAAGAGACAAAACAAGTAAGGAAAGGAAGGAGAGAGAAAGAAAAACATTTGTCATGAGTTCTGTTCATCCACACTAGTGGACAGCACAATTTCTCCATGTAGATCAGCATCATGGAAAGTGAGATTATCCAGTTCCTGCCTGCTTTTACATCCAGAAAGGTCAGTTTACACATTACTCAAAAGTGCTGTCATCCTTGTCCAGTAAGTATGATAAGAACAATCATTCCTGGCAGACTAGTGGATAGTAGGTCTGGCTATGCTTCCCTGACAACTCTGAGAACTCTCCTCTCATAGATTCATTCTCCTGTAATTTGCTGCCTTCATAGACCAGGTAATTTCTGATTGACGTACCTGTTTCTTAAATAGATTTGTACCTTCACCCAGATGGAGGTTAGCCAGATATAACCACCATTCTTTGTCTCATGCTGGAGAGTGCCTCCTTTCTTTGGAGACTTCTATGGAATGTCCTTTATCTCTACTAATGATGTTTTGACTTATTTACAGGTACATGTCAACCTTGTACTCTCACCCTGATTTTCCAGAAAAAGGGCCAGAGGAGATTAATGAAGAGCTAATGAAAAATGTTAGCCACAACCCTCTCTTACTTCTCACACCACAAAAAGTTAAAAGATATGTTGAGTCTTTATGGAAGAAGAAAAGTTCTGGTCAACCTGTCACCTTTACTGACATCTTTGGGATGCTAATAGGAGAAACACTAATTCAAAATGTAAGCCATGGTCAAACCATAATCCTTCATTTCAAACTAGTGCTCACCAACTCATTCAAACTATTGTCAGTCTGACATGTGTGAAGCAACTTTTATATTTTCCTATTGAAAAAAGTTCCACGGTCCATCACCCCCCCCCCATGAATGGTAATCTCTTTAGGTGAGATGGTGAATGCAAGTACTATTAAAGATAGAAAAAAGAGAAGATTTTTCTCTCCTCAGCAGGTAGGAGCTAGGAGCATGCACTACTCTTGTAGAGGACCCAAGCTCAATTCCCATCATCAATGTCTGGCAGCTCACAACTGCCTTTAATTCCAGCTTCAGGAGGCTTCAACACCTTTGGCATGTGTGATCATCTGCACTCACATGCACATGTCCACACACAGGCAGATACACACGTTGCATATTTTAAAATAATAAATAAAGGTGGCAGGGGAATAACCATGATCTTTGTCTGGTAAGAGTCAAAAAGGAAATGGGATGCAGGAAACAAAGGTACTTGATGTGTCACCACAGAGTGACATTTCATCTAGAGATAAAGCAGGGGAGACAGAACAGCCTGTGCCAGGGACTCCAGCTGAGAATTAGCTCTCAGAACTAAGGCTGCCAAATCTTCCTCCACTTCAAATGTTGATACAATCCCCAGTGATTTGATTATTTCCAAATACAGTGACTTATTCCACAGAGCTTTATTTTTATTATATATTTGAGACCAGAGATTTCCAGAAATAATGGGGCTTAATTTTATTATAGAAGTTCAAATAATTTTCTTGAACACATTATTTCAAATAGCTTTTTATCTATAGCCATTTCTATATATTTAAAGCCATTTCCTTGTTTTTGTGTGTGTGGACAGAGAATGAACACGACCTTGAGTAGTTTGAAGGAAAAGGTCAATGAAGCCCGGTGCCCTTTGCCTCTCTTCACCTGCCTCCATGTCAAACCTGATGTGTCAGAGCTGATGTTTGCTGGTATGTTATCCCATTTATCAGATCATCCCTTGAAATGGAAATTTCTAATGATTTTCTTCATGTAAAAAGTCATAAGCAGTTTCAGTTACTAATTATAATGCATTTTCTGTAACAAGACAGTTTGAAATGTAAAAAATAATAAGCTAGATGATTTTTCTGGTTGGAAAGGGTATTTGACAAGACAGTGCATAAAACCTGTTACTTTAGATCATTGAAATGGAGCGTAAATGGTGAATGCAGTCAGTTGCTGAATGGTCCGTTTTCTGATGACTGCTGACAGTAGGATGCCTGGTGGGTTTTTCGTTTTGTTTTGTTTTGTTGTTTTTTTTTTTGAAACAGGATTTCTCCTTAGCTTTAGAGACTATCCTAGAACTCACTCTGTAGAGCAGGCTGGCCTCTGACTCACAGAGATCCATCTGCCTCTGTCTCCTGAGTATTGGGATTAATGGCGTGTGCCACCACTGCCAGACTGACGCATGATGTTTTTAAGCCATGTTTATACTTGTGGCTGAAAGAAAAAATGCCATATTTTTAATACTAATGTTTTACTTGTTTCTTTTATGGCTTCAGTTATTGGTTGTTGTGAAAGTGCATTTGTTCCTGTGGAACCCCAGTTACAGTCATATAACAACACAGGGATGTCATTGACTGTTTTTAGGGATACACGTCTTGGTAACTTCATTCACATTGAGCTCTTAAAAATCCACCATGGATTAGCAAGTGTAAATCTGCAGTGCTTTTGTAATCTACCTCTCTTTTCACTTTGACCATATGCTTTCATGCAAGAATACTTAGTAGTTTATAAGAAGTGATTTGTTCACTAATATACAAGTATTTATTAGTGATATGGATTTGTTTTGCTTATGGTTTCCAGGAAGCGCTATTCACATTTGTTATTTTAATCCACTTTCAGTGGAACCTAGGGAGGTAAGTATTTTTAACTTTGATCCACAGAAGAGCAAGAGTGAAATCTCAGGGACAGGGTATGATTTGTGTGGCCAACATGAGTGAAGTCCACAGCAGAACTGAGAACTGACCTTGGAAAGCCTTTGTTCTTTTAATAACTTCATATTGGTTTATCTGGTTACTGACCTTGTTGGATACAGTTTTGCCAGCTCTCAGAGTTACCCCTCTCTCTTACTGCAGCAAATAGTTCTTGTCTGTAAGAGTTTGCCATTCGTTTGGGAAATTTGCAGTAAGCATTAAAGACACGGAGAAAGAATTCAGCTATTTTGGAGTGAACTGTCATTGACTTCTTGTAGCCTGCATCCCTGCATCTCTTAATAATGTTTGGACAAATGAATGTGATAAAATATGGAAAATACTTCAGTGGCAAGCTATAATTAATTTTCTGTACATTTTAAGAAATTAGAATGTTCTATGAAAGATGGCATAAGCAAAATCACTCTTTAAGGTCTTTAAATGAATAGGATTTTGTATATAGAGGTGAATTTAATTACTAGGCTGTCAAGGGTTGGAGGAAGACATGCATTAGAAGTAAACATTGTGCCCAGCAGCAACAAGGACCACAGCTTTGACCAGGGTGTGGTTCATACTGGTGACTTGAGATTTTATTATATATGAGAAATAAGTACTGTGATGAAATTGTACCTTCCTTTAGCTATTGTTTTAGAGAAACTAGAACTTTTGGGGACTAGCTGATACCTTAGTATAAACATTCTAGTTAGAGCTCAGGGCAGTTGGAAAAATCACCTTTTACCACACAAGCATTGAGATAAAGTGAGAAAAGAATGAGAGTTTAATTTGCAAGCCTTGGCTTTTATACTGAAATTTCTCTGGCAAGTCATTTAATCTCTCTGATACTTATTTTCCTCACTATTTTAAATATTATTATCCATTACCTTTACCATGTGGGGGAAGTTCCAATGGCAATTCCTGATTTATGCATGAAACTGACGGTTGTAGAAATAGAAGTATTTTATTATCGTCACAATTACTATAACTTTTTTCACATTGGCAACTATTTTCTCTAGAGATTTTTGTTGACAACCATTGTCAAGAAAAAGTAATTAAAATATGAGTTAAGTAGTTTTTCTGGAGGCTAACTGTCTAGGTTCATCTTCCGTTGTAGATCTTGGGCCTGATCTAGAAATCTGATTGTGAGATGCTACACACCATTGACCTTCACTGTTAAGTCTCTGTGATGAGGAAGGACAAGTTGTGTCTCCCATTGACTTGTGGGAATCTGGTACCCAGATAAGACATTCTGAGTTGCATAATGACTGTTCAAGTAGTTTTACTTGAGTAATTAGAAAAGAAAATCATAGAAAGAAGAGTGAAGGCATGTCTTTATTTCTTGAAAATACCTTTTTGCAGAACAGAAAGGCTGAGACAATCAGTGAATTATTTTCTAGAATGCCAAAGAACCTAATCAACTAATAGAAGTTTTATCAACAATTCTGCTTCATGAATGCCAGAGAATGTTTTTCTTCCAGACTCTTGGAACAGCTTTAGACGATTTTTCCTTTGGAAGGTTTTCAACAAATGAACATTAGTGTTTAAACCATTAAATGTTCTGACTCCTCCACTCTGTTACATTGCTGAGAAGATTTAAAACAGAATTTGAGATTTCCCAAAGTTGAATAACTTACATGTACTGAGTATGACTTATGGTTATGGACTAGGCAAAATGATAAATTAATCAATTTTGAGAAAGTATCTTGATGTGCATATCAGGTTTCCTGCTTAAATTCCCAAGTTATTGGTATTATAGATGTATATCACCCATACTCATTTTATGCTAACTTTTATGACAGAAACCTTGTTCCAAAACTCATTGCCTTTCATGTCCTAAACATATAATCTCATTGAAGACACAAAACTAAAACCTGGACACATTAATAACATACATCTGAAATATAATTGTTGGATGAAGTATGTAGACAAGACATTGGATAACAATACATAGCTTTAGTATAGTCATAAAAGTACTTTACCTGGGTGACTGGAATATGATTCAAGTTGGACTTGGAAGTAAAAGGCATCTTTGAATAGGAACAGCATGGGCATGTTTTAAAAAGAGCCAAAAGTCTGTTCTGAGGAGTCACTAACATTCCTTTGCTCCCTATTGCGGAGCCTGGGACTTAGGCACATTGCTGGTGTAGATCATTTCCATGACAAAAACCACAGTGCTGAGTTTGGAAAACTTGTATCTCCAACTGTCTTAGTTTTATGATAATGGGAAATAGTTATAGCTTTGTGGCTGGGCAATGAAATTACTGGGCTAGTGTTTTTGCAAAAGAGTCCTTTGGTGAGGGGCTAGAGAGATGGCTCAGCAGTTAAAGAATGCTTGTTGCTCTTGTAGAAGACCTGGGTTGGGTTCCTAGTATCCACACTCTGACTCACAAACATCCTTACCTCCTGTTCCAGAGGATATGTGTCTTCTCTGTGGGCACCAGGCACATATGTGGCACACATACATACATGTAGGCAGAACAAACATAAAATAATAAATCTCTTAAAATATTTTTAAATTCCCTTGGTAACTTAATTCAGGTGGGTGAGAAGAAAAAGATGTTAGAAGCAGGATGTTAGAAGTTCAGCTTGAATCACTGTGATGAAATCTTGAGACTAAGGAGACAGTCTTCGAGAAAGAGACAAGTAGATAGATGTTCGATGCCTGCACATCTGGAGTCAAACAGAGTTTTCAGCAATCAGTGAATCAGCCAATCAATAGAACAAATTTCTGGGCTCTGATAGTGTGGTTTCCCAAAATAGCTAAGTTGGAGATGAGTGAAGGTGATGAGTTTTTTTTTTTTCCTTCAGACAAGGGTAGTGGGAGGTGATGATGGAGCATCCAAGTGTAGTGCTGAACAGGAAGTAGGGAATGACCAAGTGAGGATACAGGAGAGAGGCTGAAATTTAAATGTGTGAGTCAGCAGCTGGAGGGTTGGAGGTGAATAACAGGAGGGATGCCTTCAGCAAGGAGTAGAGGGTAGATCTGAGTTTTAAAAGCAGTTGTCATCACAGTACATGAGCCAACAGCAGCAATTAAGCAGGGATCAATCAAAGCAAAAGGGAGAGGGAATTCATATTAGTTCCCTAGACGGTGTTAGAAATTAAAACACTGACACAGGAGTTTCTTGACTATCCTGTGTTTCATTGTAAGTCCTGTCTCACCAATGCCACACTCCTCCGTCTAAAACTGGCCTCTCTCAGACACATCATCCTTAGATGTGCCATTCAGCCTGGACATGAATGAGTCAACACTATCTCATTGCAATTAGAACTTTACAACTTCCTTTTTGAAAGGCTAGTGTTCTTCTTCCTTGAGTAAACAGTGCATGGAAAGCATGGTCCTTTCTCTAAAACGATGATAGCACACTTCTTGGACATTCAAACATTTTAGATTTGAAAGTTAAAATTCTGTTCATAATTGATGTAGCTCACTATCCCTCAGCCTGGTAATTCTCTAGTGGGTGGTGTCAGCATTCCCACTTGACTGGGATAACTAATGTAGGAAGAGTGTCCCTTGACATTGAGAGGTCAGTTCAAGGTTTACCACAAGACAATCACAGAAAGGCTAGTGGATTGTGTGGTTATTTGTACTGTGGTTGCTGAATAATATATTTGGGACATAACATTTCAGAAATGTAAAGTGAGCAAAATAGGGATGGCAGTCTATTTGGAGTTGAGAAAGGAATACATAATGTGGGTGCTTTATAGAGAATGTCTAGCAACGATCTCAAGCCAAATGTTAAGAGAAGCCATGTAATTTCAGAAGGTAACAGCATATAGAAGACCCTGTGGAAATGACCTTGACTTCTGAGGAATAGTGGACGTGGTTAGGGGACCTGCCTGGTTAGGGTGAAATAATATGATGTGTAATAGAAAATTTGATGCGATATTGTTCAAAGTGAGCAGAGAGTAGCTGCCATTCAATCACAGGTTAAGAATGCAGGAGGAGGCTTTCAACTAATAGTGGTGTTCTACCCTTACTGTTTTCCCAAGTTTATTTTGAGACCAGTGGGTGGAAATGGGGTTGAGGGAGGGAGTGGGAATTCAGAGAGTTGAGATATTTTAGGAAGTCACTGGGAAGATCCAGGGCGAGAGTGCAGCACCCTGTGTAGTATGGTGATGATGCCTGTGGTGACAACGGCATGCCTGATGTACCACTTGACTTTTCTTTGATGTCGAGGGAGGCAATAATAAAAGAGAGCTAAAGTAAGAATGGTGCTGTGAACAGTAGTGCTAAGAAAAGAAGCCAAAGGAGTGGTAACTAGGAAAGCAAAAGTCAGAACCCAGACATTCCTTTTGGAGTTACTAAAATGTAGATCGGTATTAGACATGGTCATCTCATTGACAGAGCACAAATATTACAGTGGCTGTTATTAAATGAACTATTAAAATGCGTCATGGCTTCCCCTATATTTCTGCCACTTCTTAATTCATTGGGGCCTTAGTCTTACAAATCATATACTGATTTTATTCGTGTTGTTAAGATTAGGGATGTAAGACTTGAGAAGATAGGTGATGTATTCAGGTTATGAGCACAGTTTGTGAGCCACAGCATAGGGTTGGATCCCAGACAGTCTGTCTCCAGGGCTGCTCTTGTGCACTGTACCTGACTGTTCCCATCTGATCTCAGTGTATTGCTAAGAAATCAGAATTGCATCCTTTGCATTATTGGTTGGGATTTCAGAATAAATGATTGTTAGAAAAAAGTTAAGTAAAGGAACAGAAAATACTTCTTCCTCATGAGGGTTTGATTTACCATAAAGAATTTAATTTCTTTTGTTTCCCTAATGGGTTTTATGGCTGAGAATTTTTCAGTTTTACAATTTTAAAAAATGCAAAACATGCCCGAGTTTTTAAATGGAAAGAGGTATTTGTTTTGTGCCAGCTAGAAGGGAACCTTTTATATTGTCTTTTTCATCTTTTTTTCCCTCAACCACTACACGGTGTCATATATGTAGTAGGCACTAGTTACTGTTTTTACTAATCAGTGAGGTTACTCATGGTGCTATTTGAGTTATTGTTAACTATATGTGTCTCTGTATCATTTTCTTATTAATAAAGGGTCTTATTTCTAAAATACTTTTAGATTGGGTTGAATTTAGTCCATATGAGATCGGCATGGCAAAATATGGAACCTTTATGGCTCCTGATCTATTTGGAAGCAAGTTTTTTATGGGAACAGTTGTGAAAAAATATGAAGAAAACCCCTTGCATTTCCTAATGGGTGAGTGATCAAAAGCATGCCCCCCACTCCCCCACCCCCGTGTGTGTGTGTGTGTGTGTGTGTGTGTGTGTGTGTGTGTGTGTGTGTGTGTGTATGTGTGTGATTTTAAATATGGATGCATTGTAAGTTATTCTCTGTTTCTCCTTTCTTTTAGGTGTCTGGGGCAGTGCCTTTTCCATACTGTTCAACAGAGTCTTAGGAGTTTCTGGTTCACAAAATAAAGGTTCTACAATGGAGGAAGAATTAGGTATTGTAAAATGTTTGCTATTATGAAAAGCGACACTGAAAATAAACTACATTGATAAATGGCACATACATATGTGGAGAAAATTAAATCTTCATGAGGATTATAATTCTCATTTTATCAGTAGCTTTATTGAAACAATCGAAATGTTTCCTAAAAATCATGTCTAAATTACTTAAGCACTATTATGACATTGCAGTTGTGAAATTTACATTGTTACTAAGAATAGTTTGTATCAGGGTATCTCCTGTTTTTTTCCCCATTATATTTCCAAACACTATTTTTGTTAGTGAGTACTTCTTTTAAGGATAATAAAGGTTGCCTTTTAAAGACTATGTTTATTAACACATCAACACAGATTTTTTTCTTTTAGGGATGAATTCTTCCTTGTTACTTATTTCCATAGTGATAATTTACTAGAGTTTTGCTAGCTTATACTATGACACTATTTCAGCTTTTTTTAAACAGATAAATTAATTCATGTCTTGTAAGCTAACACTAATGTCTTTCATTAAATCTAATTCATCTTATAATAATCTAAAAGCCAATTTTATAAATCTTCAAAAAGTAGACTATTGAGAACTAGTTGCTTATAGTCACCATTAGACTAGTACTGTAGGAATATGAATATGTTTTCCTGAATGAGTAAATCTGATATAAAAAAAGAAGTGAGCATGCATTCATGACTTTCCCAAAGTCTTGTGATCTACATCCAAAAAGTACTTTGTTTTGATTGACTGTGGGAAGAATTAGAATTTTTGGACCAAGGCTGCAGTTCTGTTGGTAGAGTGTGCTTGTTAGCCTGCAAAGTCCTGGATTTGATCTCTTGGAACATAAACCAGGCTTGGTGGCACAAGTTTGTAATCCTAGTACTCAGGAGATGGTGACAGAAGGATGGGAAGTTGGAGATAAACCCTAGCTACATCCCATTGCGAGAGAACTCCTTAGGACTCATGAAATCCTGTCTCAGGAACAAACAAACAAAAAGAATGAATGAATGGATTTGGGGACAGTGCATTAGAGATGAGGACTACCAGTCACAGGTCTGTTTGGGAACACGGAATAAAAACAATGAATATTTGTAATGCTCAATTCATTTTAAGAACATGCGCATGTGAAAAGCTTACCATGTTATTTTTTTCTAATGTGTGGCCTTTGGATATCATGGACAATAGCAACTGACATAATGAAGTTTTATATGCATGAGAGAATGTAAATGTAACACGGCCTGGAATGCCACACCTGTCATTCTGGGTACTGTTTCTCCTGAGAGATTTGATTTGAGTTGTTGATAGTTATAGGTAGTGGGCAAAGATTCATTAATCTTAACTTTAGGAGTATCATTTGTTCATTTGGATCATTCTTAAGAGAGTATTGGAAAAGTAATTTTATTATGTCTTTAGAACCAACTACTTCTAAATGGACATTAAAAACTAACAGAAAGACCACTTGTTGCTTGTGGTCCTTGCTATCATCCAAGCATCACTTGGTTAAGGAGCAGGCAAAGTGGGTCCATCTGGAGCCTGAGGTGGTCTTCAATGCAGACTCACAAGGTCTTTGTGGTTAAACTGCAATTGAATTGTATAAAGATGAAGGGCTGGGAGGTAGCTTAGTGATGGAGTGCTTGTCCCTGGGTTTGATCCCCCAACACTGGACCAGCAACAGCAACAAATAGAGGCTGCCCACGTGGAGTGGAAGGTTGTAAGCCTGAACCTAATCTCAGATTCACAGAAAGGACTGCATTAGCATGGGCTGAAGTATAGGATGAGGTAATCTTGCTTGGTTTATTCTAATCATAGCATCCCAGGTAGGTGTCCTGTTTCAACCTTAGTTATGTGGAAGTCACTCAGTCTTTTCTGAGTCACTTGGTTCTTTCTGAATTACGTGAAGATTTTTAAAAAGAGAAAGTAAGACAGAGAGGAAGCCCATGCTGGGTGGCCAGCTTCCTGTGTTCCTTCTCCTCTGAATAATCCTGATAACTCAGGTTAATTATTTTTTTTTCTCCTAAGACAGGAAGAGAATAGGGCTGACATTACACATCAGAAGGTGGGCGAGACAGTGGCTACAGGCCAAGGAAAAAGAAGACGCTTTTAGCACAGTGTGCTGAGAAGTCTCCACGGAGAAGTCCCCTTGAGGCCAACAGTCTGGCTGCTGACTGTTCCGTGTCAGACTCAGGGCAATGGATATTGTGTACTTGGGCTCCGCTGGTCAGCAGGAGGCATGTTACCTCAGATTATGTAAGGGTTTCCAGAAATGAAACTGAAGAGGTGACTGAGGGGACTTAAGACTTCTGGGGACTGTATCTCCCCTTGGTTGACTGAGGTCTCCCTATTAAGAGGCACCCACAGGGCTTTTTTTTTTAAACCAGTTCTTTTACTCTCTTACCTCAACAAAGACTTTAAGATAAACTGAACCCCATTTAAATAACTTTAAATGAAATCATTTACTTTCTCAAGGAATTTTATATGTGTGCATTTTTGCTTCTAAAAAGAGCTGTGTGAAGATACAAAATAAGAGTTGACATTCGACCACTTGTGCCCTGAAAATGTAATTTTCTTAAATTAACATACCAAGTATAGCCAAAGTAGAACAAAACCAAAACAACAGTGACAGAGAAAAGGAAATACTTGATTGAGGAAAGAAAAGAACATACAGCAACAAAGCCACCGAATATGACATCTAGAATGGTCCTGTCTTGGTATCCCCCTCTACTGTGCAACACAATTACTGCTGCCGTGATTATGATAGGAAAAGAACAACCCCATTAGCTTTTGGGTACTTTATTTTGCATTTCTGATGCCAGTATGTAACCATGCACACACCTGTTCTTTATATTAGTGTAATAAACATATGGAGAGAAATACAGGGAAGCCACTTGCCACACCTCTGCTTTCCCGAACTTACAGCTTCCCAAATGGTTCTGTGAATGAAACCTCTAAATTCGCAACTAGTGCCTGGAAATTGAATAAAGAAAAATCATCTTTCCTATTTGTTACCAAAGAGGAAAAAGAAAGTCACTCTGGGGACAGTTGATATGAGTCAGCAAGAAGTCTGATTTTTTTCTGCAAATGATCACAAGAATAATCACCAGGGTCCACAAATTAGGCACATTTACCCCAGGAAAATGATGGGTAATGATGGCACTGCTATCTTCGTATTAAGGATGAACCGTGATGTTCCTTAGTTCTCACGTTGGTCTTAGTATGCTTTAAGGGAACACACAATTCTTTGAAAAATCAACAGATGTTTTTCAGTGTTGGCAAAAGTCAGAGGTTAATTAAAATGAGTGCAATTTCTTCATGTTCTAGAGACTGAATTGTAAATTGCTTGTAGATATGAGGTTTGTCCTTTATTTACCTTCATAAACACTATTTAAAGATATAATAGGGTTATTATTATTAATGTTAAGATAAACTCACGAAAACCCTTTCCTTAAAACTCGGAATGGATAAACTTAACAGTAATCAGTTTTTGTCTGCTGGGATATTTTGGTACCCAGTGATGAGTTTTTAAGAACTGGTGAATCCAATGAGTCTCCATTTACAGCACGGATTCGAAGTTATGTGTAGATCAGTAGTCCACCTTCTGTAGTTTTGCTCAGATTATTTCTTTATAGTCAAAGAAAGAAAGAAAAGAAGGGAGGGAGGGAGGGAGGGAGGGAGAAAAAAAGGGAAAGAAAAGAAAGAAAGGAGACCTAGTCTCACCACATAACCATATAACCCTGATTGGCTTGGAACTCACTTTGTCAACCAGACTGGCCTTGAGCTTACAGAAATCTGCCTACCTCTGCCTCCTGAGTGCTGGAATGAAAAGGCATCCATCACCACTCCCTCATCCTCATAATACATTTACTTGTGAATTTTCATCCCTGAGATGCCTCAACGGTTTTGTCTTCTTCCCACAGAAAACATTACGGCCAAGCACATTGTGAGTAATGACAGCTCTGATAGTGATGATGAGGCCCAAGCACCCAAAGGTAAGAGAGCGAAAGCGTCCGTGTGGATTATGAGTGGAGGAGGGGAGAGCATTGCCCAACCCCTCTCTATGTGCTGATGAGGTCCTACATCCTGAAGTGTCAGGATGGAGGCTGTCCAGTGAGAGACAGGACTATTGCATGAATGTAAGAGGCAGTAGAATCACATCTTTTCCTTTCTTTTAAAGCCTCAAACATATTTGCAGTACAACAGATGGACCTGTCTGAGGTGGTGGCAATACTTAATTCTGTTCTACCTAGACAGCAAGCTGGAACTCTTAGTGTGGGAAAGTGGGACTGGGGGAATACATTTAGTTAGCTTTACAATAAATGAAAATGTTGCCCTTGCAGTTGTCATTAAGCCATCTGAAGGGTTTGACTGTCAGCATGTCCCTTAGCCTTCCGTCGTGGTTAGTAACTTACCTCTACAGAAGAATGCAGTGGTGAAGTGTGTTAAAATGTTCAAGACTTGTTGCACAGTTGACCTTTCAGTATCAAGGATTCCTTTTGTCTTGGGACAGGGCAGCTAGATCTCAATTTTGTGTGGGTCACAGTAGTTAGTGGCACATTTGGGATGAGGATGAAGGTGAGAAAAACAAAGGTGAGGACCACAGATACTTGTTGCAGTGTGATATTTGTTAGAAGAGAAAAATGTAGCGATTGTATATGTTTACCGCAATTTTACAACAAAACAGTTCATAAAAATAGTTCAAAGATAAACAAGCAAGAACAAAACAAACAAAAACCCAGCTAAGCATTTAGAACTGGAAGAGTCTTTTCTCATTTAGCTATGACTGGACTTCAGAAAGCAGAACACTGCAGTGACTTCTCCCAGGTGTGAGATGCGTGTAGGGGAGACTTTTTCTGCCCTTTCCAATTATCCCTACAAAGAGAGATCCTTTTCTCACAGCCCACCTGCTGTTATTTCTTCATAGGCCAAGTGTATACAGGACAGAGAGCAGTTGCTTCACCACAGGATGTAGCTGCACATGGCCATAGCCTGGGCAGGAGTGCGCTGTGGTTTGTGAACTCTAAAAAGCCCTCCTTCGGTGGCATCCAAGCTTTTAGGAGAGTGGAGCCCAGCTAGGTTCCAGCACTGGTTTATTCATTGCCCAGCAACCCTGCTTATTAGCTGGAGTCCTGAAAAGACCCCACCTGCAAGAAATGTTTTAATTCTAACGTCTTCATTTAAAATTTTTAAATTTTACATTATGTTAGTTTTTCAGACTTGCATTTTGATTTTTTTTTATAAAGGAAAACGTTTAATTGTGGTGGCTCGCTTACAGCTTATAGGTATAGTCCACTGAATTTGTTTTTAACGAAGGAAGCTTGCTAGCATGAAGGGTATACATACTATATGTCTAGCACTTGGAGAATTGGTTAGTAAGGACTGAGAAGTAGACATAGTTGTTTGTTTCTTATTGAGTTAATTGCTATAGATGGCCAGAAAATTTAGTCACTGCTCAGCACTAGTTGGTTTTTTGAGGCTGAGAAGTTCAAGAACTTCTGAATTTGCTGTTCTTGCTTTACTTTCATTTTAACTTAGAAGTTGACATTGTGAATACTATTTTTTTCATTAGTTCTTACTGTGCTTTTTAAATAGTCACTTCAGTAAAATCTCCTGCCCCATTCTCTCCCAGACAACTTTCCCCACTCTAACTTGCTCCATCTGAGTAGTATCTGTTACAACTGATGACTTCCATTGTCATGTCATGGTCTCTGTTTACATGACACTTCACTCTGAGATCATGCCCTCTAGTATTTGGCACTGTAGTGTCTCCAAATCTTCTCTACCTAACCATCCCTCTCTTAATGGAGGAAGACTAATTACCCTGTTCTCTCCATAGTTTTATCTTTTCTAGAATGCTGCATCTTTGGAAGCATGCTGTCTGTAAACTTTTCATTCACTTCTTTCCCTCTATAATAAGTTAAGTTACCTCCACATCTGTTCATGACTTTATGCTTTGCATGTATTTGGTAGAAATTATAGAAGCTGAATGTAGATACTCATCTCTCAAAACGCACACAGGGGGCTGGCTAGAGAGTTGGCTCATCAGTTAAAAGCACTGGACTCCTGTGGCAGCTAACAGCCATGGGTAACTCCAGTTCCAAGGGATCCGATGCGCTCTTTTGGCTTTCTCAAGCAATAGATACACTGTGCATAGACATTTGTACAGTCAAAACACCATAAGAATTAAAGAAAAATCAAACCAAGCACCTCAACACACAGAGTTTTATGTAACTGTGCCTGCTTACTCACAGAGTTTCTAGCACTTGGAACAGAAGAGTTTTGAGCACGGCTTTTTCCTTTTGATGTGAGTGGGTCATGCTGCAAGGTTGCACTGCAGTTGGCTGCTGTAAGACTCTCTGTTCTGAATATAAGGCCAGGTGCTTCTCTGAGAACTTCACACAGATCCAAATCACATTACCCCTCAAACAATCTTAGGAGGTTTCCCAATGAGGAAACGAAGGATGGAAGGGGTTCGTAGCTAGCACAAAGTGGAGAGAGGATGGGAACTCAGATGATGAGCATTTCCCAGGAGTTAACACAGGCATAGGTTTCAGAGGGGAAAGTCATTGGTGATTACTTCTTTGGACCACTGGTGCCTTTTAAAACACTTTATATCGTTTGTTTAAATTACAGGCCTTTAAATCCCCAGACTTTATAAGCAAGGGTGAAATAACAGGTCATACGATCAGTACATGAGCGTGTTTATTTATTGGCAGTCATTTGGTGGGTCTTTCTGCTCTCCCTTCTAACTTTTTGTAATCCTTGGATGTTTATGAAGCAGGATGTGGACACTTAGGAAAAATTGGGAAACATAGATGGTAGTATTAAGTAATATAGGTTGTGTGTGTGTGTGTGTGTGTGTGTGTGTGTGTGTGTGTTGGGTAGAGGAGAGCAAGGGAGAGGGAGATAGGAGAAGATTAAAGGGTATTATATGAAAAATCTATATAGATTGAGGCATCAGTGGAGAATGTAGACTGACATTGTATGTAGGTGAAAGGTAACTGTGAACACTTGAAAACAGAAGTGATAGGGCACTTGCTTTAGTAACCAAATAAAGTTAATAACAACAACAACACTCTGCATTTGTGCCTGCGTGTACATATTTTCTATATGATATTATTCCTTTACCTCAGGCACTGAGAATGAAGATGCTGAAAGAGAGTACCAAAATGACAATCAGGCAAGCTGGGTCCATCGTATGCTGATGGCCTTGGTCAGTGACTCAGCGTTATTCAATACCCGAGAAGGACGAGCAGGGAAGGTGCACAACTTCATGTTGGGCTTGAACCTCAACACCTCCTATCCACTGTCTCCTCTGAGAGACCTCAGCTCCCAGGATTCCTTCGATGACGATGAACTCGATGCAGCTGTAGCAGGTGGGTACCAAATCGGAAGCCCTGGAAGCTAGTTACGGATGTCTTTATTCTTTGTCGGGGAGAGGCATTTTAATTTCCGTTAACATTTATTTGGACTCAATTTTAAGAACATTTGACTTGTGAGGGACATTCATTTTTTTTTTGTTTTGTTTTGTTGTTTTTGTTTTATTTTTGAAGAAAATACAACGGCTAGGAAATTGCCTTGTCATGTTACTATAGGAAATATTCTTTGAACTCCAAAAGCATTTTTTTTAATTGGTCAGGGTTCACTTACAGACAACAGGAAACTTCTTCCGTGTAAAGTAGGGAAGGAGAAGCTTACAGAATTGTTCCAAGGATTAGAGAAGCAAGCCCAGGGCTTTCAGGAGTGACTCCAAAAACACCAGAACCATTCCCAAACGCCTCCACAACCGTGCCTGGCAGTGGGAAGAGAAGAAACACAGCTATGTCTCATTTCCTCCTTCCTTTCTCGTGGGTGGGCCCTTTGGAAAAGGCCAGGTCTCCACAGATGGAGCTTTGAGGAGGTGGGGAAAGTGCGCTAGGCCTGGCGCCCTCTTGTGGTGAGTGAGGGGATCATGTAGCATGGGTTGGCGTGGACCAGTCTGCAATGACCTTCTGGACAGGGAAACTGTCACTCGTTTTCAGAAAGATTAGGAAACTTTGTGAAGTTGCCTGGTAAGAATCTAGTCACTTTCAGACTTGTCATTAACCAAATTCCCCCAAATTGCAACCTTTATTCTTCAGTTCCCTGTGACTTATAGGTTAAGTGTTACATTTGCCTTGGCGATGATTAATATGTAATATATCTTTTTGTGTAATGATCTTAAATTTTTCGTCAGTCACACACTATCATTTTTCCTTAGTTTTCCAAATGTAATTTCTTAATCATTTCTGTCTTAGGTAATTGCCAAGATGCAGTAAAACTTTAAAGTAAGATATTTGAAAGAGCATAACCTTTGTTCATCATACCTACAAAATATGTTTGAAATTACAACAGGTTTCAGATTTTATTAGCTTTCTGTTTGTTGTTCAACTTTAAGGGGAACAAACCCTGAGTTTTGTATTATGTGTATGACCTTAATATTATTATGCATTTATAATTCCAGTTATTGTTTTATATATATTAATATGTAATTCTAATTATTCTAATCATATTAGCTGTAATTGATGTCTACTTGTGGTAACATAAATTCACCTACGCTAAGAAGGCGTTAAAACATTCAACTGGTGGCCTTGGCTTTCTTGGTTTGTGGCACATGGTTGTACTTCTTAGTCTCCTCTGGCCAGTGCTTCCTTAGAAAAGTGTGCTTTATGATGACTGCCGATTGGGCTTAAGCAAATTATGCTCATATATGGCTTTTAAGATCTATAAGAACCTTCAGTGATTTAACTTTCTAGATAAGGAATAGCAAAGAAAATAATTGTGTTGTCTTTGTCCCAAAGTGCTCAGCGAATCTGGGCTTGAGTCACAGGTCTCCCCGTCTGGCTTCTAAGTCATTCCCTTTGCACACCATCCCCTGTGGTTTTCTTAGTCATTGTTTTGCTGATGTAAGAATGGAAGTTTTCTCGGTGCACACTTCGTTTCATTCCCTTTTCACTGTCATTTTGCCAACACAATTCCTCGGGTTTGAGTGGCACACGTGTTCTAACCAGCTCACTCGACACTTTTAAGAACTTACCTGGCCGTTTTGCAGTATTTAATATGAATTTGGTTGGCAGTGTTAAGAACTGAAAGACAAAACAAAGATTCCCAGCTAAAATTTTCATATTAAACAATACATTTATGTGTACACAAATAACACAAAACATTGGAGGCCTATCGAGACTATGTAATCATGTTTGCTTATGTGAAATGCAGATTAAACTTGGCCATCCTGTATTTTTATTAGCCAAATTTGTTGACTGTAGGACTTATGCCTTTTTTTGCTTGCCCTATCTGAACAGTTGTTCAGAATCTTCACCTGGTTCCTTTCCTTTGTTTCCTTTCTGCATTCATACCGAGTTTAGAAATGCTTGTAATAATGCTCAGTCCTCAAGATGCACTAGGCAACATGTTAAATAAATATAACCATTGCTTTCATGAAGACTCAAAACACTTAATAGCCTTTCCTCCAAGAGCTGGTTACTAGAAAGATTGCTGCATTTTGGTTAAAATAACACTAGTAGGAAAGAGAAAATCAGCCATCTCATTTCTGAGGTCAATGAGGGTATGGCTGTATAGTGGCTAAGCTGGGGTTGGTTTTCCCCTATCTGTGAGGTTTGGAGAATAATCACTGTGTATATCACCTTGTTGCATTCCTTTTCTCTGGAAAAAAAGACTTACTCACCATTAAAAAAATAAAAACAGCATAAGGAACTATATGTTAAACATCCTAAAATATATATCATATGCATTAAATACTTAACCTTCCAGATTTGTTTTTAGACATTTTTATTATTTATTTATTTGTGTGTGTGTGTGTGTGTGTGTGTGTGTGTTTGTATGTGCCCAAGGAGGTTAGTGAGGTGTCACCTCCCTGAAACTGGAGCTCCAAGTGTGAATTACCTGATGTGGGTGCTGGGAATGAAACTTGGGTCCTTTGCAAGAACAGTATGTGCTCATAACCACTGAGCATTTTTGTAGCCCTGTTTTTAAGATGCTCTTGACATGTACTAACCTAAAATTGTTTTATATTAATGATTTTTGCAAAAAGGCTTATTCTTAAATTTTAGTAAATATCATACATAAAATTTATTTTTTAAATGTATTTCATGTACTCAATTGAAATACACAGGAGAAATTTCCAATCAGTTCACTAACAAATTCATGCGAATTTATTGTTTAGATATGACCATTGCTAGACATAATTGTATATTAGACTGAATTAACTGAATTTATTAGTTCCTTTCTGAATGAGGGCTTTATAAAGATTAAATTCTATCTTCTTCCAATCATTTGCAAGCTCTAGGAAAATCATGTGTTCGATGTGAAAGTTAAAAGGTTTATCACAAACTGTGATGTTTTTTCAAAAGATTTTATTAAATTAGTATTTATGGGCAGATGAAGTGGCTCAGTGTCTAAAGGCACTTGCTGTCTGTTTTGTCTGACAACCTAAATTAAATACCCAAGACCCACATGATAGAACCAAGTCCCTCAAGGTTGTGCTTGACCTTCATATGTGAGCCATGGCAATATGTATGACCTCCTCTCCCCCACACAAAGAAGTAAATAACTGTAATAAATGGTAAAACAAAACTAAAAATATCCTTATGTATTACACAGCTGAAATGCCACAATAAAGATAATCATTATGACTATATCCCTTTTAATTGAACATGTCCTCCATGCCAAAGAAGAAAAGGTAAAGGCTTTTGTCAAGTCCACATGTTAATGTTGGGAGAAGTTTATGTTTTATTCTATGGCGGTTCTGCTCATACATGAGTGTCTTAAAATAATTTCTTAGTTAAAATGAGAAAAAGTGAAGTATTTTATATTTCTGACTTCAGCTTTCAGACATTTGAAACAAGATAAATTTATAAAGTAATAGGTTACTCTAAAATAGTTAAATGTCTGTAGAAACAAATTTTGGTCATTGGTCACATGATTTGTTTCCTGTTTACTTTGTGTTTATAGTGTTTACCGTGGCACACTATCTGGAACGAGAAGTTGACATGAGTTAATTCGGGCTAGAGTTCAAAACACAGATATCCAAATATTTGTCTGTTGTAAATTGAATCTATGTGATGAATTCATCAGATACTCATAAAGTCAGTGGTTCTCAAACTGTGGGACACAGCCCCTTTGGAGATTGAACAACCCTTTCACTGGGGTTGCATATTAGATATTCTGCACATAAGATATTTGCATTGTGATTAATAACAATAGCAAAATTACAGTTATGAAGTAGCAATGAAAATGGTTTTATGGTTGGCGGTCACCACAACATGAAGAGCTGTGTTAAAAGGTTGCAATATTAGGAAGGTTGAGAACCACTGGTTTAAGGAACTTTTATAGGCGTATAACACAGTATTGTTTGTATGCTTGCCAGAGAACCAGATTAACTCACTCACAGGATTGGAGAGTTTGTATGCTTTCAATCATGGGAGAATGTTTGCCCTTTATAGCATTAAACAAACTTTCTACATATTGGTAGTTGTCACATAACAAATTGGTCCTAAAAATGCAGATATACTTTTAAAATTATACTTTCAGAATCTGACACTCTCCCTCATAACAGTGGGATAGTCTACTGAGTTTTTAAGTATTATCTGAGGGCTCAAATACAGCCAGGCCTTTTATTAGTTGGATATTTTGAACAAAGAGTAGGTGTAATCCATATTTTGTTATAAAATAGAAATGGATGATAGCTGTTGGAAAGCCTTATACTGGGGATTAAGTGGCCCTTCACACAAACTGCTGTTACTCCCAGGCATGGTAAGGACAACAGGAACATGCTGTCTACTTGGTGGTTACTGTAGATGTTGAATCCTGACTTTCTTAAATCTGTTTTATCAAGGAAGTTTTAGTGTGTGTATGGAACAACTATTAATATTTCATAAACTTAGGCAGATGGCAGCACAATGAAGACTCACTTAATGTCAGCTAATCTGGAGTCAGGACATGGGTATTTACCCCATGCCAGTTAGGAGCTCATCGACATCATGAACATCTCCTCAGAGATAGAGAAGACAACTAGTTTCCTGACCTGTTTTGGTGAATCTCTTAACTAAAATAAAAAGAGATAACTCTGGGTTTGCAAAGGCAAATAAGTCTCCTTAGGAATTGTTGTGCTTTATTGGATTAGAAAAATTACTGCATTTAAACAGACCCTATCATTAAAGTTTTTAATGTTGTTATGTTTAATCATGATCAAATGGTATTGGTGTGTTGTACTAGAGCGAGAAGGTATTCATGGATCACTTCTATGCGTTGTAGTGGCTAATTTTTTTAAGCTATTCATTTCAAATGCTGTCAGTGTTTGTGGTTTTATGTCAGTTCCTCTTTGACCTTGGTTTTGATTTCTGTGTTGATAGCTCTTCAGGGCAAGTGTTCTGAAACTGTTAAATAGATAATTTGAGAAATAAATGGATGGTTGACAAGTTCTAAACAACTTTGGTTAGGTAGCTCTGTATCCTTATTCTTGTTTCAGGTCAAGGATACCTTCTCTGAAGTGGCTCCCCTGATCATGGAACACAAAGATCTCACTCCTCACCATGCTATCATCTGTTACTTCTGTCATAACCATCCTTGATGCACTGGCTTGTCAGTGAATTTTTGTACTTTGTAGTAGACTCATACTGTCTCTGATAGTTTACTTGCTTGCTCAGTACCCATGATTGTGCCCAAATGGGGACACCTAACCCATGATTATGGAGTCTGTGATTTGGACTGTATCTTGGGCCCTCATCCCTTAGTACGACAGGCCCACAGCCCAGAGAGAGGCAGATGGATCTCTTCGCACTCTGCCACTTTCCAGTTGTTTCATTATATAGATGACATATAGTTTGTTTCACCCTCCATTTCTAAATGTCCTTTCCTTCTCCTCTCTGCTACAAACATTAAATAAGAGGATATCTGAAGAAATGTTTTCAAATCAGTAAAGAGGGGAGATAGTATGGAAGACATGAAGGCTAATGTCAATACTAGGAACTGAGCTAAGTTCTTCTCTTGGCATTTACTTCATAATTGCTTTTGTTCTGATATCAGAGATGAAGAAACTAAAACTTAAAGCTATTAATTTACCTACATTTGTCAGAGTTAAATCCATTCCTGAATCTAACAAAGCTCAGGCAGTGGGGCTAACCACATGGATTTCTGCCTCTCAATTTTACAGTAACCATTTATGTTTCTAAGCTAATGTCAGAAGACCTTTGAAGTCATTCTTGTCTTGTCTTTCCTTTTGAAAGATCCGGACGAATTTGAACGAATATATGAACCACTCGATGTGAAGAGTAAAAAGATTCATGTTGTAGACAGTGGGCTCACCTTTAACCTGCCGTATCCCTTGATTCTCCGACCTCAGAGAGGTGTGGATCTCATCATCTCCTTTGACTTTTCTGCAAGGCCAAGTGACACAAGCCCTCCTTTCAAGGTAAGGAGACTTCAGTAAGGAGAATAGGAACATGACCAAGGAAGGGTGCAGCCCACAGTCAGCTAGGTCCCTATATATCTATTAAGAATCAAGACAATACCCCTGTGCCAATCTGACCTGGACAGTCACTCAATTAATAACTCCCTTCTTGGGTGACTATAGGCTGTGTCAGACTGACAGTTCATGCTGACTGTGGAAAGCACTAAGTTTCTTGAGTTAATAGTGGATATAAATAATAAATCTTAGGTATCTTTGAAACCTCACATGTTCAAGATCATTGGTAGTATTCAGACAAGAAAACAATAGTTGTTGAGGTAATATCAAATTATGTGCATCATGGAAGATCAATATGGAAATGTGTTGGTGCTTCCTGGAGTCAGTGAGCAGGGAACTAAGTGAACAGGATGAAACCACACAGAAATGGCAGTGAGCACATTTGGAAGATGGGGTGTTCTGATTGGGACAGGTAGACATGAAGGCTGTTAAGAGGGCCCTGGGAAAGTTTTTAATATTGGGAGGTAGGAAATGGAGATTGGTGGAGGATTTCCAGCAGACAAATGAAATCAGAATCGCAGGATGATTAACCTGAGTTTGTGGGTGGAAGGCAAAAGATTAAAACTATGACTTACTGTAACCCCAGCATAGGATAATAAATCATGCATTGTGCAGCCATGGGTCAAACCTGGTCACCCACAAGGAACAAGGAGAAGGTAGGTTTCAGTGATGACTCCAAAGAGGTGATTCTGATGGTGGAAGACACTGTGTTATTCATGTAACCAATGGGAGTGCAAAATGTCAAAGCCATAATTTTATATGAGTCAGAGCTTTACTACTGGATAAGAGGATACTACCAAAGAGTTTTAGGAGATTCCTTTAACACAAATAAAAGGCATTGTGTTTTGCAAGAATTTTAAAATGTTTCATTGTTTGTTATTAAGGAGAATATATACCTAGATGATACATGAGCGATTAGAAAATATATCAACCACTTCTGGATAAAAGCTGCCGATATTTTGATTTTTTTTCCTCTTCTGCTATGAATGTTCAATGCACATACCCCTTATGTGAAGACCAGAGCAGGATGGTAGAATGTGAGGTATCCAACTCCACCTTATTCCTGTGAGATGGAGCCTCCAAATGCACCAGAAACACATCGTTTTTCCTAGGCTGAATGGTCAGTTAGCTCTCATGTCCTGCCTGGCCTCATTCCCCAATGCTGGAGTCACAAGAATTGATAGCCATGCCTGGATTTTTACATAGGTGCTAGAAAATTAAATCAGGCCCCCATGCTTGCAAACTAAATTCTTTTAATCAGGGAACTATCACCCCAGCACCCAATTTCTGTATTTAAAAGAGTGGGGAGGAAGGGGGTTGCTTATGTGTAGAAGTCAGAGGACAACCTTGGGAACTGGCTTTCTCCTTCCTTCATGTGGGTTTATGGGTTCTAACGCAGACTATTAGACCTTTATCCATTGGGCCATCTCACTGGTCCCCTTTTCTGTTTTTGTTACTAAAATATAGACACATTTTCATTAAAGAGCAGAGTATAAATGTGGGTAGAAATCATAGCATTGACTGGGCATGTACCCCAGTTGGTAGAGTGCTTGCCATGCATACAGCACTAAGTTCAATCCCTAGCACTTCGTAAAATCCAGGGTGGTGGTATCCATGCGATCACAGCATTTGGGAAGTGGAGGCAGGGGGTTAGAAGTTTGGATCATACTCAGCTGCCTTGAGCTCCAACCCAGCATGGGTTACATGAACCCTATTACATAAAAAGAGGAAATAAAGAGAAATGAACAATCAGCCATTTACTTCGTTTATTGTTTATTGATACATGTAGCATTTCCTAAGAATAGTTAAATCTCAGGTTTTACTAGGAAGCTATAAGGTGGTGAATATCCTGGCTTTTGATAAAGGCAATGACAGTTGTGTTATCTATGTTGTAATTGGGCTTCCAAGTTAACAATGTCAGTATTAGGGAAACTGTTTTCTTTAGAACAGATAGGACACACTGTAAAAACAAAACAAACAAAACAGCAACAACAAAATCCCCCAAAAACTGGTATAAAGAGTCTTATATTCCAAACATTATTCCTATTAACTTCCCTAAGAAAACAAGTCCTATGTGTCATTTGATCAGGTTTCACTTGTATTACTCATTTAATAATGTACATACTGACAATATCTGTTTGATTTACCATTGAGAGTTACCTGCCACTAATCCTTGTGGCACTTGTATCAATTGGAAGAATATTCACACAATAAACAGACTCTTGAGTTTATGGGGAAGGGTGCTTTGGATTTGATTGAGGGAAAAATAAGCTGGGACATAGCAGAACTCAGGGTTCACTACTGGTTATTTTGCTACATTTTATTAAAAGAATATTTTAAGTTGTTTTGTCATGACATATGCTATGTTATATCACATTCTATGTATTGCACATGGGTCTAGTTAGCTCTGTTAGTGCTCTTTAGGTTGTTTCATGACCAGACACCAGCCAGAACAATAGATCTACAAAAGGAAAAGAAAGGAGGCAATGAGGGTTCATGTGGGGGCGGCATAGATGTAACAAAGTAAGGTTGAAGTGGCCTTTACATCACAAGTATTACAAATAATGTCTTTGCTCCATTTCTCTCTGGGGGAACCACATACAAACTAATCTGTGTTTTTCAACACTAGTCTCATTTATTTGTTGGATTTGGTGTTGCTCTTGGTTTAGAACTTTCCTGCACACGTAATTCACTTCTTAAGTTGGTTATAACATGGCCAAACCAGTTGAAGTTCTGACTCTATAGTCACTATTCTACCATGCCAAGTTGGGGAAACTACCCTCCCAAGCCAGTTCATGTGCTAGATCTGCAGAAAGCAATTCACCATTGCTAATGAGGCAACCTGTAGAGACACATTGATCTGGGTGAGCTTCCCAAGGAAGACCACACAGCATAGATTGTGGTACCTGCAGGTTTACTTCTCACGCTGCTTTCTCAGAGTTGCTATTAAAATTACAGAGAAGTGTTGTGTCTCAGTTCTGGAGCCAAAGGTTGAGCAGGGTATAAGCAGGGCTGTCTTTGCTCTTAGGATTTGTGACAGAACTCTCTTGCCTTCTGCAGATCCCCGTGCATCTGATAATCAGTGGTTGGGTCACCTTGGTCTTGTTGTTTGAGACAAGGTTTCTCTGTGTAGCCCTGGTTGTCCTGGAACTCGCTCTGTAGACCCAGCTGGCCTTAAACTTGTGGAGATTCACCTGCCTCTGTCTCCCAAGTTCTGGGATTAAAGGCGTGTGCCACCATCACAAAGCAATCTACCTCAGTTTTCACTTGGCCTTTTCATTTTGTGTGCCTCTCTTATTAACAAAACTGTTATGGTACTTACCGTTTGCCCTATAATTGAGGCTGATCACAGCTCAAGATCCCTAATTAGACTGTGAAGAACCTTACTCTAAGCCGTGGGATGACTTGACAGTCAATGCTCTTACTGCACAAACTTGACAACCTGGACTCTAGCCACAGATCCCAGGGTGGAAGGAGCAAAGTAACTTCAGAAAGTTGTCCTCTGACCTACACACACACACACACACACACACACACACACACACACACACACACGCACGCACGCACGCACGCACACACACACACACACCTCAAACAAAACAAACAACAGATAATGATAATAGTAACAATAGTGATATTTTTTAAAGACTTCCCCCTTCTTTAAAAAGGTCACATTCACAGTAGGTGGATAGCTAGGGTGTGGGTTTAGCCTTTTGGGGCCACCATTCAACTTACCATTCCCATTTTCATCACTGAGGGTTAGATGTCTTGTGATGAACACATGCATCTAATATTGATCTCTTCAGGGATGTTTTTGCAGGTGAATTCCCAGCTTTTAACGGAGGGCTAATGTTGGGGAAGTCTTATGCTAATAAAGCACTGTCTGGCCAATAGGAATCTAGATAGGTGGGGCTAGGAATCAAGGAGGATTCTGGGTAGGAGAAACACAGGAGAGTCAACATGTAACCGCCATGGGGGTAGGAGCCCAGAACTATTCTCCGGTAAGAGGCATACTTAGATTAACAATTATGGGGTAATTACTTAAAGCAGAGCTAGCCAGTAAGAGACAAACAAGGCCAGCAGCTTCATAATGAATATAGCCTCCTGTGTGTTTATTTGGGACTGATGCGGATCTGGAACCAGGCTGGTGGGAAGGCTCCACTCAAGGAAAGCTTCTCTTAACAAAATGGTGTCAGGAGTGGGATCATGAATTTCCACGCAGAATGACAAAAGCTTTAAAGGAATTTTAGAAACAGAAGAACGGAGAGAAGCACAGAATTTTGGTAGCAGCATTTTCTCAGTTGTGCTCTGTTTTGCTATCAACAAGCCAAGATTCACGTGGCTTGCTTACTGGAGTCTTCCTGACTCGGCATAAAAAGAAAAAAAAAAAACCCAGCAAGGTTGTTTTAAGACACTCTGCTAACGATTGAAAGGTGTGTACGTACAGCTGGAAGTGGCAGCTTTTGCTGGATGTCAGCATGGACTGAGGCGGTAAGCTGAAGTCACGCTTACGCCCGCCATCTTGAAAAAAAAAAAAAAACGGCAGTTTAAAACAGCGCGGTTTTACAGATAAGACACGTGGCCAGAAAAACATAAAGATTTACAGTAAAGTCAGACTTGGATAAAGAAAAACTTCTAAAGGTTTACAGTGTGTTTAAAAATATATGTGAGATTGAGAGAGAAACTGAAACGACAAAGTGGTAAATAAATACAAAAGCCGGCTGTGGTGGCGCACGCCGGTAGGAATTGCCCCAGAGGCAGAGGCAGGCAGGTTTCCGAAGAGAAACCCTGTCTCAGAGAAAAATAAACAAAAGTGAAAGAAATAGAGTAATAATAATAATAGATAAATAAATAAGCCACACAAAGATGGAAAATACACAGAGAGTCTGGATACTGTACACTATTGTGTTTTTCAGTTTTTTGCTTGCTCAGGAAGGAACTGCTGC